AAAAAGAACAAAGAATGGAAGTAATTTTTTTTGGCTCAATTGTCCCTGTCTTTTGAAAATTTAGGGACATGATTTGAAAATTTTGACGCTGACTACGAGATTTCAAAACCGTGAATCACCTCTAAAGGTGGTTCACAACCTTAAATTTACTTAAAATTTACCTGTAATCATCTAGTATTTTGTATATTATAAGCATATTGAACTCTTGATTGTATACTGAGGTATCAGATGTTACTAGTGTTTTTTGTAATTATCATATGTTACATCTCAGTCTTTGGAAACATTTGTATGTACCCTGTGCTTACAGAGGTCTATACTTATCGCCCTTGAACGTTTCACTCATGAGAAGACCTGGAAAATTATCAAGAATTTCACTGGCTTACTTGAAGGGAGACATCTATGATAATGGAGAGTCAACCAGTTGAAGGCACATTTGACATGATAATTAATTGTATTATGTTGTGGATAGATAATAGTAGCTACAGGCGCTACCTTGAAGAAGGAAAACAAGACAATCAAACAATCCAGGACAACTACTATGTGGTAATTTCTATACTTGCATCATATGAAGCACAAGTACAGGTTGAGAATGTGGATAAACAAAAGCAAAAATAGGAGGAGATTCAAAGATGAAAAGGATAGAAAACTTCACACTGGCAAGGCCATTAAAGAAACAAAAGAAACAAATCAAAATGGACAAACTTGAGGAGAAATCCCAGTAAGTAATCTTGTTTCTGTCCGCTTGGTTCATCCGCATTCAACCAAGTTCTGGCAATCTGATTCTACTCCTAAGAGGTTCCCACCCCAATTGAATCCACACGGACGTACTTGGAAGACATGTGGTTCAATGCCAAGAGGCGTGGAGTGCTTCACAAATGAAGTTTGCTCGCTTGCCTATGATGGAACATTTTTTTCCTGATGGATCATGATTTCTAGACCCTGACCTGGAAGTATCAAATACAGCTCACCTAATTTAAACTATTCTTCATCAACACCAGCTCTCTGACATATGATCATGCTTCATGTCAACTTCATCATCACTTATCAAACCCACACTAAGATCATCATCTTCTTCCACACACTTTTTTCTAATCCTGAATTCCTTCTTATTAACTTCCTTATAACAAAGTGTCCTAAATTTTGTATCACTTTGGCAACAAACCGTAAATTGTTTGTATCCTTGTTGAAAAAGGAATCCTTTCTGAAACTTTGATTTTTTTTACAAATCTGATTAATTTGTTTATCTTTTGATGTTTTAGGATTCAAATTAAGATCCTGTGCTACTTCCTTTCTTCTATAGTGCATTATTTTGCTTTTAATTTTTCTGAAATATATCTCTCTAACTTTTTCATCACTTAATGTGTTTGGGTTTATGTTCAGCTTTTCATTAATTACTTCTCTTCTGTATTGATATTTTTTTGTATATTGATATAAGGCTTTCTCATACAATCTGTCTCTCTCTTCCATGCTTTTAAGATCTGCAATATCCACCTTCAATTGATGTAAGATTAACTTTCTTTTCTCTTCCAAGTTTTCAATATCATTGGATGGTGTTTCAAGTTCAATTTTATTGTGTTGAAGAAATATAAAACAGGTTCTCTGGCTTGAGCTCTCCACTAGAGGAGATGGTTAATATTGAAAACTTGGAAGAGAAAAAAAGATTAATCTTATATCAATTGGGGGTGGATATTGCAGATCTCAAAAGCATGGAAGAGATAGACAGATTGTATGAGAAAGCCTTATATCAATATACAAAAAAATATCAAGAAAGAAGAGAAGTCATAAATGAAAAGCTGAACATAAACCCAAACACATTAAGTGACAAAAAAGTTAGAGAGATATATTTCAGAAAAATTAAAAGCAAAATAATGCACTATAGAAGAAAGAAAGTAGCACAGGATTTTAATTTAAATCCTAAAACATCAAAAGATAAACAAATCAATCAGATTTGTAAAAAAAACCATTAAAAGTTTCTTGTCAGAAAGAATTCCTTTTTCAACAAGGATATAAACAATCTATGGTTTGTTTCCTCAGTGATACAAAAGTTTGAAAACTTTATTTCAAGGAAATTAATAAGAAAGAATTCAAGATAAGAAAAAAGGGTGTGGCTGGAAATGATGATCTTATTTGATAAATGATGATGAAGTTAACATTAAACATGATCATATGTTGGAATTCAGGTGGGGAGAAAGAATGGTCTACATGACACATACCATCATGTAAGTTCTAAAGCGGGAAATGTTACATCCGCCCAGACTCCAGTCAGGGCCAGTCTCTTACAACTCAACCCAACATCATGTATGATCAACCTCGAGAAGTTACAACATCCATCCAGTCATCACCTTGGCGGTGGAATAGGTTGTGGTTCACCAATTTGTTGTGTCTAATAAAAGGATGATTTGAACATCAAACCATCAAAGACACTTTCTTTTTATTAAATTCAATGAAAAGATAGGATTTCAATCGATTGTTTGGCGCTTCGAGCATCAAGAATTTACAATCTTGGTAATCTTTCACCAGGGCCTTCCAAGCCCATGTCTTCACTTACATTGAACAAAAGTGATGAAGTTGAAAAAGCGCACCTCGAACATCTCATCATGAACCAGGATCTCGAGCAAAATCCTGGACTGTGTCCGATTCTTAACAGTTTTGCGGAATCAAAGAAACTTCTCCGTCATGTCACTCAACCAAACCATCAATATACTATCATGATCTACGCGACTTTTATGTCAGTGATGAACATGAAGAGAAATAACACAGGAATCTACTCGTAGTGAACAAGACAAATTTGCTATCAAGAGGTTGGCGGAGGAGGTGCTTGATAATGGTAAAGCCCAAGAGCCAAATCAGCAGGGATTGACAAGTCTGAAGAGGATAAACCAAGACCAAATCGGAGTTCGATAAGTCGGAAGAGGATAACCCAAGAACCAAATCAGAATTCGATAACTCTGAAGAGGATAATCCAAGAGTACAATAATTCTCAAGTGGATAAACCAAGAGCCAAATCAGATATTGATAAGTCTGAAGAGGATAACCCAAGTGCCAAATCAGATATTAATAAGTCTGAGTAGGATAAGGCAGGAGTCGAATCAGAGATTGATAAGTCGGAAGACGAAAACCGCAGAGCCAAATGAAATATTGATAGAGTCAAAGAGAAAAAAGAGCCGAATCAGAGAGAATGAGATGAAAGAGAAAAAGAAACAAGATGAAAGTCAGATATCAAGCTCATTGCATATGTTCAAGAACGGAGAAAACGCAATGACTAACCTCATGATCTCAATTTTCCGCTGCTACATCTTCATCAATGAATTCCTGGACCACTTTTCAAACTCTGCCATGGTCCTCACTCCCTTCATGTCCATCAGCATAAATCTAAAGAAGACAGAAGACCAAGATCCAAATCAGAGACCATTTCGATTCCATCCCATAGAAAGAGTGAAAACGTGAAAACTTACCACGTAATCTCAGCTGCGACTTCAATCGAGTACTTATCTTGACTCATCAGACTCTTGGCTTAACCTCATTACCTGATTCCACCAGCACAGATCTGAAGAAATTGAACCCATTACATTCATTCAAAAGCCAGGAAAGGTGATGACTTACCACATAATCGCGACTGCCAGCTGTTGCATATTGATCAATTGATTCCCGAAGTAATTTCCTAGATCCATCAAACTCTTCAAGTCCATTCTCAAATATGTTCTCTTATCGATGGTTATACACGAATGGAATCGCGTCCATGTGATCGATTACATTAATCGATGACATTATCTGATGTAGGTCGGAAGAGATAAGTCAGTTCATAGTGAACTAACAGAAGGGATACTTGTATGGATTGCTTACATCGATCCATCAACTCGATTTGCTGTTTAAACATAACGTGAATCTTTCGCTAAGGCTACTTGAATTGAAGCATGACCTCAGGATATCAAGTTTGTAAGATGTCGTTCACGTGTTTGTAAAAGGACCATTGAACCTTTAGTTCGGGTTGAAGAATCGAAAAGAAAAATCATAGATTTCCAAGAAGAAGAACGGTCGGTTGATCATTATCAAGATATAGGTCGGTCAATGTCAGAGACGAGGTATGAATTTTGAGATGATTTGATTCGGATCGAACTCACCTTGAAGGATATCAAGGATCGAAACAGTTGCACCAAACAGAGAACATTCGGTTCTTCGATTGTCTTTTCATCACATCTCAAACCGTAGACTTTCAAAGACTCTTTGCTTGTTCTACTCCATGTCGACCACTGGTAAAAAGGTGTGTAAGTGGTCATCACGAAATGATATCTAAGAGTGAGTATCGAACTTACAAACATTGTTACAAAATCGGTCTTCATATAAACCAGGACAGCTGATGTAGCAGTAGAAGTTGAGCTACCGATCGATCCGGTTCTTACCAAGTTGAACTAAATAGAGACGTATCATTTATTCGAAGCGATCCGTTCTATCTGAAACGATCGCTGAATCTGAATCAATGAGCGATTCGAAATATTAAAGAGAATGATGAAGTGAATCGATTAGATAGATACAAATTAGAAAGTCTTTGTTGTTGATAATAAAGTCAACTACTAACAGTTTATATTGTTTGATGATATTGGTCGAAGTGAGTTGTTTGATTAGGATTGGTTGGTGGTGGTGATGGTTCGGTCGATCAAGTGCTGATCTCGAAAAATGATGAGGGACTGTTACATACACTGTGTATGTATGTATGTCAAGCACGTGATATATTACAGACTGTCTGTGTATTTTATCAAACCACAAGTATGACTTAAAAATTCTGTTTGGTTCTGACTTGGATAAATTTTTTTAAATTCTAGGGTTTCAATTCAATTTTGAACTGATTCTTCATTACCCACAAAAACTTCGAAACCTTCGATTCACAAAAAAATCAAATCGAACATTCTCTCCCTCTCTCTAACAACAGAATCCTACAGACTTTACTTTGAGCTTCGATTGTTTCCTTCTTTTTAACTTTTCAAACAACAGACTATCTATCAATGGGTTTCGGTGACGGTGGTCGAGGTGGAGGTCGAGGTGGAGGTCGGGGTGGAGGCCGTGGAGGGTTCGGTGGTGATCGTGGTGGACGTGGTGGAGGACGTGGTGGATTTGGAGGAGACCGTGGTGGACGTGGTGGAGGAAGAGGTGGATTCGGAGGTGATCGTGGTGGAAGAGGTGGAGGTCGAGGTGGAGGAATCAGCTCTCGTGGTCGAGGTGGTGGAGGCCGAGGTGCACCTCGTGGACGTGGTGGACCTGCAAGAGGTGGTCGAGGTGGTCTTGGAGCTAAACGAGGTGGAGCACCTAAAGTGATCATTGAGAAACACAGGCACGATGGTGTCTTTATTGCAAAAGTAAGTTCTTCTTCACCTCGGCTCTTTGTTATCGTATTTTCTTCCTTGCTGACTAACATTGTGGTCGAACTTTTTAGGGAAAGGAACACCTTTTAGTCACCCGGAACTTGGTTCCAGGAGATTCAGTGTATGGTGAAAAACGAATCACGGTAGAATCCACACCTACTTCACCTGATACACCTGCCGAAAAGATTGAATATCGAGTATGGAATCCTTTCCGATCGAAATTAGCAGCTGGTATTCTAGGTGGTTTAGATGATATTTATATTGCTCCTGGAAAGAAAGTTCTTTATCTTGGTGCAGCAAGTGGAACGAGTGTTAGTCATGTGGCTGATGTAGTAGGACCTACTGGTACAGTTTATGCTGTTGAATTTTCTCATCGAAGTGGAAGAGATTTGATTAACATGGCTAAGAAACGAACAAATGTTATCCGTTAGTACTCTACTTTACCCTTCTCATTTCATACTTTGAATCGATCAGAAACTAATCGTTACCGGTATTTTGACATCTTCCGTACAATTAGCTATTGTTGAGGATGCCCGACACCCAAACAAGTACAGGATGCTCGTAGGAATGGTAGATGTCATCTTCGCCGATGTGGCACAACCAGATCAAGCAAGAATCATCTGTTTAAACGCTCATCATTTCCTCAAACACGGTGGTAACATTCTCATTTCGATCAAAGCCAATTGTATCGATTCAACCGCTCCCGCTGAAGCTGTCTTTGCAAGTGAGATTAAAAAGATGCAGAATGAGATGATCAAGCCTCATGAACAACTTACACTTGAACCTTATGAACGTGATCACGCTATGGTTGCTGGTACTTATTTACGTCATACTTGATCAAAACTCTTGACTTCTTTTTTTCTCAAAGACCTTACATTCAAATAGAATTCAAAACAAAAACAAGAAAAATAAATTGTACTTCAAAAAAAATGGGTTCAGTATCAAGGGGCGAAAACTTCATTAAATGGAATTCCATTCATGTTAAAAAAACCTCGATTTGTTCCATATATACTCACACTTGTTTTTTTTCTTGTTGTTGTTTGGTTTTGCATTGAAAAGGGTTTTTTTTCTTTTTTTTTTCTTTTTGTCTTAATATAAATCTCTTTTCTTTTCTTCTATTTTTTTACCTATTTGTGTTCTGTGTGAGTGATTGGTACTTTTTTACTTACTTTGATCCCTTTTAGTTTGCAAATTGGACATAACCCATCTTGCGGAGCATTTGCCTTGAGTGGAGATGAGTGATTCGGCTTTCTCAATGAAAAGGGACGTGCCTCAAACTTGCTTGACTCATCTCGGGCAGTTTTGCAAGTTTTTGGTGGTCGTGAGCGGAGTGCTTTAGAACCAGAGATAACTACCTCAATAACGCCCTCATCACTCACACACTCGCTCTATCAGTCTTGATTTATTCAGGAGTTGACATCTAGCATTTAAGCTGATTCTTTTACCGAAGTGGTAATGTGGCCTAGTCAGTTTTTGAAATCATTCATGACCCTGTTGTATGCGTGCTGTTTACCGAACAAGTTTTTGGTTTTTCAGTTTTTAGTTGGGTGGGCACGCTGGGTTACCAAAGAACTCATAGCTTATATCGCCATTGTTGGTATCTTGTGAGTGAACTGGCTCAGCTGGTGGTAGGATTCAAGACTTCTGCTGGATGTAGGCAGAGATCTTGAAAGATGAGGAAAGCATCTGAGGAGACCCTATTGATAGTAGATACCACATGTTGAAGTACGTGAAGCCTGCTTATTTTACAAAGTAAGCCTTTTGTTGTGGTATTGGTTGTCTATCCTCATCGAAATATGGTCAACTCATCAGGTCAGCTCCTCGTCGATCTTCGCTCTAACTTGCGGTTATGCTTTCTCAAGATGGCTGACAAGGAAACAGATACGATTTTCTCCTCAGTGTTTTCTTCCGTAACCAGAACTGCGATTGCCATTCAGGAGATCCTAGATGTACCACAGAAACTTCGCCATCCTCAGACGAGGTCGTGCTCAATCGCAGTTCTTGAGTAGCCTCAGTTGACCCCAAGTGGGATGGATGAGATTTTCGGAAGAAATATTCCTTCATGTCCTCAACCCTCAGCTATGCTCAGTATGCCATCAGTGTCTGCTGAGCTTCGTTCGATTTCAATATCAAGTAGGAGTATAAAAAGGTTAGAACCACAAGTCTTCAAACTCCAGACAAACACTTGAATCTTCAGTCATAGTTTTCTATTTACAAAGATGCCCATGCCATCCCAATTCCAAGATTCACCTGATCAAGCTCTTAGAGCTTCAATCTCTCGAATTTCTCAACTTTGCTATGATTTACAAAATACCTTTAATTTTCTCTCATCACTCGCGTCCCGTAATGAGGAGTCAACTTCTGTCTCACCGCCACCGATCCCACTTCATTCAAGGCCCGTCCAGACCTATCTTTCCACTACAGCTCCATCTAGTTCTTTCGGTCAAATCTCCCAGCCAGCATCCGAGAAAAGAACCTTCTTTAATTCACCCAAAGCCAATAGTAATCCGGAGGTATCAAATAATCTGGCCCGCGAGGATAGGATCTATCGACGGCCATACTCAAAGTCGATGCCAACAATTCTCTTGCACTCCAGCCATGTCTCTGATCTTTCACGAACCAAAACTCCATCTAGCCCGTCCCATGAGATTCCAGCTTCACCGGCTTCAGATACTTTGGAATCAGAACGTGATCTTCAGGAAAGCAATCGTAAGTCTGACATTGATAACTTGAGCTGCGAATCCAATTTTATTGAAAAACTTATACCACATTTCCTATAGCGCCCAGTATCATAATACACGACGTTGCAGAATCAGAACGTGATCTTCAGGAAAGCAATCGTAAGTCTGACGTTGATAACTTGATCTGCAAATTCAATTTTATTGAAAAACTTATACCACATTTCCTTTAGCGCCCAGTATCATAATACACGACGTTTCAATACCAACATCCTCTGGGCATTCGGATTTCAACTCGATTCGAGAAGGAATAGATTATTTCAATTATGTAGAAACTGATGAAATATCTGAGTTACACTTAGATAAGATTAGCGATGAGTCTAATGCTATTCGGGATCAGGCGTCATCCTCAACTTCTGCTATCCAATCGCGACCAGCTAATATAGATTCAACTCCGCCATCAATTCCGACTGTGTTGTCTAACTTCATCTTTGAATCGCCGCTAGCTTCGTCTCTTGAAACTCAACCCGGTATCATGTCTGTTCTTGATCAGGCAGCGACTTCATCTCTTCAATCGCCACCTGCTCCTTCAGCAGAAAACTCAAGCCAGAGAACTTCTCTTGTCCTTCTTCAACAAAACATTAATAATGATATTGAAACCTTGGAAGAGAAAAGAAGATTGATTTTACATCAATTGAAAATTGATATAGTAGATCTCAAAAGCATGGAAGAGATAGAAAGATTGTATGAGAAAGCCTCATATCAGTATACAAAAAAATATCAATACAGAAGAGAAGTCATAAATGAAAAGCTGAACATAAACCCAAACACTTTGAGCGATGAAAAAGTTAGGGAAATTTATTTCCGAAAAATTAAAAGCAAAATAATGCACTATAGAAGAAAGAAAGTAGCACAGGATTTTAATTTAAATCCTAAAACATTAAAAGATAAACAAATTAATCAAATTTGTAAAAAAAAAATTACAGTTTATCGACAGAAAGAATTTCTTTTTCATCAAGGATATAAACCATCTACTGTTCGTTACCTAACTGATACAAAAGTTCGAAAACTTTATTTTAAAGAAATCAATAAGAAAGAATTCAAGTTGAAGAAAAAGTGTGTGGCTGAAGATGATGATGTTAGTGTAGGTTTGATAAGTGATGATGAAGTTAATATTAAACATGATCATATGTTAGAAAGAAGGTGGGGATGAAGAAGCGGTTTACTTGATTGTTTTCTTTGATATTTTCTCTTCAAGTTCTTATCTTGTTTTAATTTTGAAATAATTTTACTTGTTGTTAGTTTTTTCAAGTTTTCTTTTGTAGAGTGAATATCAGTCATTCTAAAGAAGATACTTTTGGTAGACCGTAGTAGTTCTTGCAATCTTAATTTGTCCCTGTTATGTCTTTCAGCTATCATCAAGCTTGATGGATACATCGATCCATTTGGCGTATTTAATAGCACAACAGGTTTGCTTTTTAGCTTCAGCCTACTTATGTAGGCAATCGTTCAGTTGAGCATGAAGCAGGTGCAATACCCATTCTTTTTTTATCCTGATACCTATGGAGGTAAGTCTCTTGCCTCATATCGATTCATAGGCTAGGATTACCGTGCCTATGCTTAGCGAATGGTTATCCCACCATGCGGCATCGAAGAAATCTTCTCGATCATTTCATTTCGTTCATCTTGCCTTTACCAAACCATTGTATCGATTGATACAATTGAACTGTTGGTTCATCGGCCGTGCGTGGGCCCTGGGGAGCCAGTTATGCTTAAGTACATATTTCTCTAGATTTTGAGTCTATGCTCTAATGGGCTTAACCAAGCTTAACCTCGAGAGAGAACCATCCTCATCCTTCCTGAATCCTCATCCCAAATTGCCACTTCATCCAATATAATGGTCATTCATCCATTACAAATTTTCTTGAAGTCTGACTCGTGGTTCTCATGAAATAGTAATTTCTGTCTGAATGTTCAGAGACTTCAGCTCCTGAAAGTTGCACACGCCAGACGTGATCGCGTTAAGACAAAGTTCTGCTCGAATTGAGCATTTTAAAGTTTTTGTCCACCTCCAGTTGGATTCAGAGAAGTTGCCTCAGCTCCGTTCACTTTCACATCGGTTTAGAGTAGAAAGAGAAAAGGGCATCTATCAGATACTACAAAAGCAATGAAAGTTCATTTGATTTTTCAAACTTCTGGTTGGATTGTAACCTGGAAAGTCAGCAAATCATTTTGGTTCATACTTGAGTTGGTTTTGATGTTTGTACTCTGATGAAATTAGGCTTGCTTAATTTAAATACAACATTACAGTCACATCATTCATTTCAGCTAAATCAAGTATAGTCTAAGAAATAGGTGAAAAACATAGCAATGGAAAAGACCTCTGCCATATTAATATTGTGATGTGGCTCTGAGGAACAGGGAATGACTTGAGCTAAATGTGTGGGACACAGGCCTTTGCTTGAGGGAAGTGGAGGAATTCTACTCTTCATTTTGAAAACAAAGGTTGACACGATTGATAGGGAATGCGTATATCTGCCATTTTGGCCTCATTAATGACCATCTGATGAGCTCAGATCAAATGACTCGGGCGACAGGAAGTTCGGTAGAAGCACAGAGTGAATATCCTCCTTTCAAAACCTGAACATGATGAACACAGACCAGCGCGGAGTGAATTTTTGCCCGCAAGACTTCTCAAGACAAAGGTGTGTCTTTTGGAAACTTTGGGGCAGTTTCAATTACTTCAAAGGAGATGAAAGAAAGGGATGTCTCTGATCCTTTCTAGCGTAAACAGCTTATCTGATGATAAGCCTTCATGTCCCTTATACATACCTGTGTATAATTTTCTAAATAACATCCGATGACCAAGCATGTGTCCTTTCTTCCTTTGTATACGCAGCTCAGCTTTGCATACCTGAGAAATCATGAGTGTCTTCTGATCTATGTTCGACTTCCGACTGGCAACTCACTTACTTATAAAGAGCTGTGTTATATGTGGAAAGCAAGAAATCCCAACCTAATCATCATCTCGAGAAAGTAAACCTTTGGGAGCTTTGTTTTTCGTCAACGTCTCCTGTTTCTTGTTAAATCTCTACCTGAAAATATATCAACTACTATATTTAATACATACCTCAAGCCAGATTATAATTCCTCCTTTCCAAGGATGTCTTCTCCATCTCAATTCCAAAATATACCTGATCAATCTCTTACCGCTTCAATCACTCGAGTTTCTCGATCCTGCTATGATATTGTACATGAGGTCTTGCGGTATATCTCAGGACTCATGTGGACGCTAGTTGTGCTACCGCCATCACCAAGCCCAATCCATGTTTCCACTCCAGATCAATCCGAATCTGTCCCCGGTACCTCACCTCCAATCGAACCCGAGAAATCGAACTCTGACTCTCATTCAGCAAAAGATAGCAATGCTGAGCTAGACTCGGAGAATTGGGCCTACGGTTCTAATGTCAACCAGGACTCGTCTTCTAAGGCTATTGAAGATTCGGACAAAACGGAACCTGTGTCACCTGTTTCGCCTACTCAAATCGAATTTGAACTTCTACTTGAGCTTTCACTTTCAATGGGTCCGGAGGATTCCACACTCGATGTTGATCCATCAGCAAGCGACAGCAGATTCAAGCCGATATCAACAAAATCGAGCGATGAGACTAATACTGGTCGGGACGCGCATATTAAGAAACCTAGGTCGTCCCCAACACCTGTTCTTCAATTCCGACCAGCCAATCTAGATTTAAATCAACCTCCTTTCAGATTTACTTTCAATTTTTTAACGATAACTTCAGCTCAATTTGAAATGGATTCAGATGATTCAGATTCAGACTTTGATCCATCAGCAAGTGATGGCACCTCTGAGCCATACTCCGATAATTTGAGCTACGAGTCGGATGCTAGTCGGGACTCTCTTATCCCTGAACCTAGGTCATTCTCAACTCCTGTTCGATGGCGACCAATATTCGGAAATCTAGATTTGAATCTTTACAGATTTACTTTCAAACCACCTCCAGCTGAACCGTCTACATCTAACCTCAATTCGCCGCAAGCCGTTTCCCCTCAACCTGAAGTCAACATCACCTCGGCTCTCAGAGATGCAGGAGATGACACTATAGCATAATTGGAGCTTAGGTCGTCGAAGAACAGGATCCTGATGTTCAATTGTTAGGAAAAGTGATGATAAGCTATACAACGGAGGCAAGAGTTACAAAAAAAAATTACACAACAGATAATTGGAATCTTTCTGAACTTTTTATCTCGCTTCATTTCAACATGATTTGTCTTATTTTTCACTTTCTCTGCTTTTTGGTGACATACTCTTTTGTTTTTACTCGTTTTATGGTAGTGGATGTCTTTGTCAGCCTTGCTCACGTCTCTAGCTCTTTGATAGAGCACAAGTCATTCTTTCAATCCTCATTTTATTTTATGATGTCTTCTGGAAGTCTCGATTGTTTCGTAGTGATATTCCCCACTTTTGTCCGATCACAGCGAGCCTTTTGATTTGTAGAATTTGTTACTCATTTGATCAGAAACATCTCTACACATAACCGATAATACGCACGTTCATTGTCGATGAACATTTGTAATGAGCTTTCGTATTGAGGAGCCCATCTTGACGTCATCTGCTAAAGCAACTCAAGAGCCGCCAGGTAGAGTTGCAATATTTTTGCGATGCACTCGTAGGCCTTTGGCTCTTTGACTATACCCGTTGATCCATCAGTCCATCTCATCATATGGCACTTACTGGGGTAGAACGCGCCAAAAAGACCTCGAGGTTCCCCATCATGACTATTCGCCTTTTGAGTCAATAGACTGAAGCTCATGACTTATAGCCTTCATGAAATGGCACCATATCTCCCTGAAGTGATTAAACACAAAACTGTTGGCCTGAAAATGTACGAGGAATCCTTGCTCATCGAAATGACCCTCTCGTCTAACAAAAGTTTCTTGCCACAAGGATTTTGTTGAAGTTCTTATGTTTCTTTAAGCATAATGTTTATCTCTATTTTTTGTTCTAAGAGTGTTACGTATCACTGTGTGATTATCATATCAAAGAAAGTTAACTTTTCAAAAGCCACCCTTCAATCTAATAACTCAGAATTGCCTGAAACCTCAATACAATTATGACAAGTGGTAAATCCAACACAATGGCCATTGCAAACAAAATTATCATGATTCTCATCTGTACAAACTAAGACAAAAGACCCACATCACAAATTAATAAAAACAAGATCAGATCAGATCATTTTAAAGTCTTGAATTTTTTGAAAAACTTACTACTATCCATTCTTTCATTTGAAGTTTGAATACCTAAATGATAATCTGTTTCACAATTTACTTCATTGTAAGATAAGTCTGAAAGTTCTTCTTCATCATCAGAATTCACAACTATCTTTCTACATTCATGACAAGCTAGATATCAAGGTTGAATTCAAGCTTCATTAGAAATTTGAATATAGTGAGGTTATGAAGGATATAACTTACTACTTGAGTGATAACAACTCTGAGGAGTACATAAGGCTCCCTTTGGATTGTCAAATGCTTTGCAAGCAACAGAAGGAGCTTTATTGATAGAAAACATATGAGTTCATTGTCCAGTAAAACTGAATCCGGCTAGGTCATTGAGACTTACCATTGATAGTCACATCTGGACTTAAAGTCAAATAAGCTTGTGTACAATCCATTCGAATTTCACGACGCTCAGGCGTGACACTTATTGTTGAAGATGACTGACTCATTCCAATCCAAGAGCTAAAGGTTAAGCTGAGAGATACCAAGAGGGGTTTATTTTTTGTATACATTTCATAAGATTTAAATATGTAAAGACAGTGCTTGAGGAAGTAGAAAGATGGGTAAGAGCTTTGCAATAATCATGTAAAGTAATCAGAGAGACAAACTTACTTGATTCTAATCCCAATCCAATGGTTGGTCTTTGTACCTGCCCAAATATCAATAATAGGATCTACAAAATGGACTTGTGCTGAAAGTAATACAATACTCTTGATCAAGCTGTTGATCAAGCTTCAAGTACGATTTTGATCACAAGCCTGATCATTTATCGAGCAGCAATTGGAGATATAAATCTGCTGAAAAAACCGGTTATCAACCTCTGACACACGCAGTCATTTGAATTCCTGCGCATTTTTTTCTCTTTGAAACTCACTCAAACATAACATGAAAAGAACCTTGCTCAATAAAACATTGATTTTCTTGCTTGATACCATTATATAACATGATTCTTGTTGGATCCTGCGGTTTGGGATCTTGCTTCATAAGTATAATAATCAGAAAAAATGGGATTTTAGCTGATCACTCAGAAGCCTTTAGATTCGTGCATAATATTTCCTGTTTTATGATCATTCGCAGTTGGTTAAGATACCGTGAGGTCTAGCTCCATGTGCAGAATCGGCTACGGCTGCAAGTATACATCTTCATGACTGCAGGCTGCAGGATTATTTTAAGACAGAGATAAGCGAAGAACGTCTGGAAAGTGTAACACAAGTTGTCAATACGTAATTTTGAGTACTATAAAATCTTTGGATGATCCAGCGTTAATCGGGATAAATTTGAAAGATAATACCGCAAGGCATCAATAGAATAGATGGTAATATGTGGAGGCAGATATGTAGACACTGCAGAAAGGTGATGAATAAGACATAAGCTAAAGGGTATTCAAGCTTTGCATATACTCTCTATTGAGAAAATCACATCTTGTATATAAATAGGAGCAATTTTCTTCCTCGTTTTCCACCACCAGGAAGTATGCATCAATGCTCATCAAAGTATAAATGGCCATCAAAAGATTGACAAATTGTTCCAAGCCAAGAATAAGATCTTCAGAGAGAAGAGAGTTGTTTTCTTTGCAAGTTGAAAGGCATTGAAGAATGAAGCTAAATCCTCAAGAGCCTTCAACATTACATACTTGAAATTACTTTCTGTGAGCGCCAGAAGAAAACGCACGAATTGGCTTTACGCAGGTGTGAGGTGCGTCGGTGTGCTTGAATTCAAATTTCATGAGCTTCGATGAAGAAACTACGTCGAGAGGACTGCCGCAGTCGTACTAAAACAACACGTGATCAGGTCTTATTATTGGATCAGTTTCAAAGTTTGAGATTTGGTGTGGTGATTTGGCGCACACATTCTTTGCCCTTTCTGTTTGCCGTGGTCAGCTTCAGAGTTTATACAAAGTCATTCTCTTGAATACGAATAATACGAATTCATCTCATCGCCGTCTCATTGGCTTTGATCATGGTGGAAAACACTTCGAACCGATCTTCATCCAAACCGTCACTTGGAAACCTTACCATTGGTACTTCGATTGTTTTGGACATAAGTTCACCTACACCAATACAACCAAATCGTCCTTCACTCTTTGAAGATCGAGAGATATGTGTTGATCCAGAAGGTATAACAAAGGACTCAACCACGACTTCATTTGAACTTGATAGCCTTTCAACAGCGCTGCCAAGAGCACGTAAAGAATCGAGCCCATCTAGATTACGAAAAATCGCCAGTTCGATCTTCCTTCGTCCTTCACATGCCCGAACCCAAAGCGAGACTCTATTTGATAGCGAAGAGTCATCTGGAGGCGATGGTACGAGCACAATAGTAGATGAGGAGAATTTGTTTGGCGGTTATACCAGAGCGGATGGACGAGAGGCAAACCATGATCATTTAGACCATTCCCGCAAGAGTAGCTCTTCAAGTCTTTACCCCTCACCAGCCAATAGTCCTAGATTAAATGGACACAAGTCTATTGCGTCACTTGCGTCTGCAAGCCTTATGATGGGCGCTCTTCAACCTGCTATACCAACAGTGAAAATTGCAGCTTCTTTACAAATCGAAAATCAAACAGGTTGGACAATTCAAATGGTACAATGGCCAACCAAAACAAAACGTCGAGGAAAAACTAGTTATTTGTTATCACATTTTCGTACGTTTATCTTTTTCTTACAAAAATCTTCATAAGGGGTTGAAAAAAGTTAGCTGAACTAAATATATCATGGGGTCTGTATAGGTGGAAATTATTTCGACGAATCTTCAATTCCACCGATGTCTGAGAAGCTACAAGGACCGTTAATCGAAATTGGAATTATACCTCAATTGGGACGTCTAAAGTCTCGAAAGGCACCATCAGGATGGATTTACTTTGATATTATGAAGCCAGACGGATATGTTCTACATTTACAATGTTATATCAAACTTGATCGATCTGGTCATGTTATCACCGCATTGATTGGTCGATTTGACCTTGACTCTAGTACTGATAAACCAATGCCTTCAGGCTTATTAGGCACAGCTGAAGTCTCTGGGATCAATCCTGCTTTAGTGACATACCGTCTTACTACTGCAAACTTGATCAACGCAGAAAACACAGTGGACGATACACCTTTTAAGCCTTTGATTATGGTTCCTACCAAAGGAATCACTCTATCTTCCTACGTTTCTCATCCGTTTGTCACCGTTTCCTTCAGGGCTGGAAAGGATGGAAGATATCATGAAGGTCAGCGCAGTACACTCGGTATGCCTGATAATTGCGGGCAATTCACTCGCTCTGAACACAGTTTGGGAGGCATTGAGGGTCTCCCATCTTCTGTTTGCGTTCAACATCGTCATCATCCACAACCTGTCCTCAATCGTGAGTAAATTGTTGTTTTATGGCAAATCATATCCACGATTCGTATTTTCTTGGTACTCGTGCCTCAAATTTCTGATATGGGCGTGTTGTGATTTCAATATTGTTTCAGGATCGGTGACAATCAACCCCTTGAGGTCAGTCTCTCATTCTGATGCGCTATGCCAGAAATATGAACTCAAATTACTCTCCTTCCTTCGATCAGTGGCCTAGTGTAAGGTTTGATATTATCAAACTTCTTTGAGATGCGTTATATTTCATTGAACTAAACTCCACGGGTCTGGTAACACAAATAGTTCAGAAGGGGATAAACGACTACCTTTGGCTTCTACATCAGAATCGAAATCAATTTTCTTACCTGAGTTGAACCTATCACTGGCGTACGGGTTTCACGACTCTCGAATGGGAAAGCGGCATTCCGTGAGCCTTTCATAAATCTAAACTGCTGGCGTTTGGATACTAATGCTTCCTTTATCTATCACAAGATGTATGCCTACGTAACGCCTCATTATAGCACATGGCTTGGCGATTTAATCGCTAGCGATGCTCGGTAAGGTGTCTACTCTGTAGCCATTTTCTCGATGCGTATTCTAATCAAACATGTTGGGTATTCTACAGATGGCTAGAGGTTCCATTCTCACGTCTTGTCTTACAAGGGTCACATGATTCAGGAATGTTTACGCCTTTAAACCCGGGGTTCGTCTTGATACTTTGAATTTAGTCCAACTACTGCTGACTGTTATATGGCTATTTGAAACACGTATAGGTTTGTGGAGATGATTACGAGGATGAAGTTAGACTCAAGCATGTAAGAATGGCATTTTCATATATCTTCAGTAATATGACCATCTGTGATCTCAGCGATGAGGATCCTTACACAAGATTTATACTGATCAATTTTGCTTTCCAGTGGAAGTTTTATGGTTGATCATGGAATGACTTTCGTTCATGTCCTTACACGACTATTGAAGACTTTCAATATTGACTTGGAGAATGCGATTTGTAATGTTGCAAATACTCAAAAGGATCACTTCTATGATCAACTTCGTAGTGGGGCTAGGTTAGTGTCAATATCTTAGTGTCAAAAAAGAATTCACGAACTGACATCGATCGGAAGGACAGGTTCTTTGACTTCAGGTAAACATTTACGCTTTTTGATATGGCAGCACTGAATAAGAAACTTTGTTGACGTCTTTTGGTATATTACAGACCAGGATACTGTTTTCATGAATGCGTGAATGGCGAAAAAGGAAAGATTCATCATCAACATGCGTAAGTTTTTCAAGATACTATGTATTTCACACAATTCTGATCATCAACTTGACACGTATCTACAGATGCGTACCTGGTTATGAGTATGAATCAGCGCTCATTGAAACATTCAAATTCTTGGCGCTGCATCCCAAAGAGATTGTAGTATTTGAAGTAAGTAATAATGTTGAGCCTGGTTCCTGTTGTAAGCGACTTGTCGCGATCTTTCCATGTATCTGATGAACTGTTTGCTATTGTGATGAAATTGTGTGCCTGGATCATCGGACTAGCTCAAGAGTGATGGTAAGCCATACTGACAGCGCATCGTCTACTAAGGTAGTGTTTTTTTGGCTTCCGGCTGACTAAAGCTACATTACATTTAATTTTAGGTTTTATTGCGCGGAAGACTACATGGCGAAAAGATTCAATACCGGTTCCTTCAATGATCCCAACTCGACAAGCTTTATCGTTAGCAGTTGAAGAAGCTCGAGCTGAAGCTACTCTACTAGAACCTAAAGTAAAGCGAATCAAAGTCGGAGGCCCTTCTGATCTAGATAGACCGATTGGAAAACTCCTTACTGAAGGAGTCAGATTGATTATCATTCATCGAATGGGTGAAGAGCCTGAGCAAGGCTGGGATTGGATCAGAGATGATTCATATGGTGAGATTTTCTGTTGACTTCTTCAACAATGCTTCAGCATCCAACTTACGCTGTTGCTTTCAACTTGAAGATCATGTTTCATATGATACAGGTCTGTCGCATTCGAGCACCTGGCCACAAGCAAAAGTATACCGGGATACTTATGTCTCATTTTTCTTTGACATGTTTAGATCGACCTGAACCTATCCTCAATGCTCTTAGTAGAACTTATGTTAGGAATTCAGTTTCACAAAGCTCAGATAGATTAGACCAGAACAAACCTTTGCCAGGCACCATATATCAATTACAAGTTAAGCTCTCTTTTCTTATTCAGATGCCCCAGATCTTCACCATTCTCTTACCTCTACTTACTTTGATCTTGACTTTTAGGCTACGCCTACCAAGAGTTGAGTGTATATTCCTTAGGTTTTGTAGCGCTCTCTTTGAGGTTTAAAATACTTTCATGCAAGCTGATGAAAAAAATGATGCACAACATGATGAGAACAGGTATTTCAGATGATATTGCAACTTCTTTAACATACTCGAAAGCTTCTTCTTTGCTTGTTTACACTAAAGCTACTGTTGATCCTCATACATATCGTTGGATACGTGAACGACATTTTGTTGAACCTGGTATGTGTTGATATTTTGTTTTGTACTTTTATATGGTTTATCACTAATGTTTATAATCTTTGTGACAGGTCTCGTTGTTTTGGTGAGCTATTATGGGTTATGAGAAAATTGATGGGTTCACAACTGACTTTGCTTTTTGTTGACTTGATTTTTCAAAGTTGAACGATTTTGTTGATCCGGGTATGTGATTCCACTTTTCTTTAAACAACTTGACTTACCAAAAATTCAGTTCAGTCGTTGACCTTTTTCCACATCTACACCCTTTTTCCATCTTTTCGGGTATTGAATTTTTCTAGTCTTGACTGAACATGCGATTGAGAAATCAAAGATAAGAGCTGGATTATATACCTAAATCCTACATATAGATGTTTTTTGCGGGTAGAGTTTTTTTTTCATGTTTTCTTGATTCATCATTATTGTGATTGTTGTTTACACAAAAGGTTTAGAATATTGATAAGATTTAGGCTCGAGGAACTGATTATAGATGGAAATTCGGTTTCTTGTTTTTGGATGATAGTATAAGAAAAAAGGACTAGTTATAGATTTGTATTTAGGGTTTTTGTTTGATTTTTGGGAAATTGAATTCTTGATAGTTATTGGGATCCTTGGATATCCAAGAAATCTCTTGAAACAAAAAGAGCCAAGGAGATGACTTCCAAACAAGCAACCAACCATCCTTATGTATAAATTCTTTATGACTCCACAAAGTAGATGAATCTCTTTGATCGAGGCCTAAATGCACTCCTGTGTTCACTTTCGACTGCACCTCACCACGCTATCACAATTTGTTATCGGATAATTGTCCGACTCTAATTTTCCAACCTACTTGGTTTTGTGATTACAAGGATTTATATGGACTTCAAGATACATGGACCTTGAGTGACTGTTCCAATGCGAGTCACCAGAATACAATGGTTGTGAAGTCGTAGGCATAGATCACAAAGTGACAGAGACGCGAGTCTCGAGAAGGTTTCAAGAGCTCTGGTCATACGATACATAGCTATGGCTGCCATACCTGTGGGCCAATCAAATCCTTGGGGAATCTGGGATGCACGATCAAACTATGATCGCTGAATCGCAAGCTTAGTTGCAACCTCGCCAGTACACTTGCTCGTGGGAGCGAATGCCACACACCAGAGAGGCTTCAAAATTTCCCCATGACGCGGTCTTTCGGGGGCGCCAGCAACACGTCACAAATTTGTTGAGGATTCAAATATCTATCTGTGGTGTCCACCTCTCTGCCAAACCGATCGTGAAACAATCTTGCAGCAGACGAGCTGGAGATGTAATTTGCAAGATCCAGGACAAAGCTCCGGAAGGGTAGACTTGTTTATCACACAAGAAAGCTGCGAGGTCCCTGAGTGAACTCGAACCCGTCTCGGCAGAGCAAACCCTGAATCACTACTGACACACTTCGCGGTCGACCAGCAAGAATCAGGTGTCAAGAATATACCCCGATTTCTTGAATCATGTCCTTGAGGATGAAATAGGGTATGTCGGGCTTGACATCGCTTACTCCATACAGGTGATCATACCATTTTGGTTGAAAGGCAACAGCATCAGACAAGCGGGTCTTCATATTTTATCCGGATACGTGGGTCGATTCTTGACGCGTTTGATGCCTTGTCTGGGGGCCGAAGTCGTAACTAGGAGTCGGATAGCATCATCTTAGAGTGTAACGAGGGGTGCATTCTTCTAACTGAATGTAACCTCGCCGTAGAGCCACAGACGATTCTTCCCAATCTATCCAAGAAAGCTTGGTGACTAGGGATGCTAGCCTCAAACGCCGAAGATAGGCAGGGTAGTGCTCACTCAGTCTTCTTGGTACCTCTGCGTTTCCAACCGAAATGCGTTTCATGGCGATTCATAGATTCAGCGTCTATAAAAGTTTACCATTGCCGGCCCTTCGTTCTGGAAAACAACAAACCACTTCTCTGTTACATAAATTCGACCTGATTGCGATCCTCATTGCTTCATTCCTGCTCTCAACTCGACGATCTATTACTCCTGCAGTTATATTTTTTCAACCAATTCCTATTCCATCATGATGATCAACACTGTTGCTGCTGCAACCTCCTTCATTCTTTTAAACCTTGCTCTCACCGTCAGTGCCGATGCGGGACTCTCCATTCCACCCCCAGTGACTGAGGGGGCCAAGAATGCCACCAATTCCAGCTCCGGCACCCCCCCTCCACCCGGGCCCCCGACCAACAACACGCCCCCGGCCAACGGCACCGATCCCAAGATCATTTCCATGGCCTGCACTCAAGCATTCTTGTTGTTACCGGACGACAGCACTGGAGCTGACAATTCTACTGCTGGCAACACCGCTAACAGTGAGTAACTGCTCCCTTATCCAACTACACGTGCTCAACCCTACACGCTTTGGCACTGACAAGTCTTCCGATTAATTTATTTTAGTCACCGAGGCGGGTTGTAAGGCATTCGACACCCCCGAAGGAGCATATTGCCAAGCCGAAAGCTGCAGCGGGTTGCCCAGTAAGTACCACCAACCAACCCTCAACTAGATATTGTACTGGTGTCTCAGCTCCGGCGTCTTGCTTAACAATATTCTTCTACTCTTCACTTGCACCTCACCAGCATGTTCTAGTTGCAACCTTTTGATCCCCGACCCCAAATCAAACGACACTATCGTCTCAAACACCACTGTTCCCTCAGTGCAATGCGCAAGCGACTACTTCTTCCCAGACCACAACGACACTAACCGTCAATCACGTTAGTTCATATCATTAATTAACTCTCCAATCCAAACTAGCTTGCCCTTGGATATGACCTTTTGCTAACTTTGAACACAATCTCCGCTCTTTAGTCTGCACTGACGCCAAGGACCAGAGTTACAGCTGCACTGGTACCTGCACCGGATTTGCTAGTAAGTTTAGGTAGCATTTTACTGATGGCCGTGCCAGTTATCTGATTGCATTTCGATTTATATTTGAACTTCACAGCTTGCCAATTTTGTATCATGATGAATGACACTGCCCTCAACGACCCAGCAGCCGGTGCCCCACCTGCCGCTGCCAACAACGGCACTGGCAAGTAATCGATCATGTAGATAGACAAAGTATTCAAACTTTCTCCAAGCTTTGTCATCCCTAAAGATATTGCTGGATTTCCACAGTCTAAACATTAATCATGGTCAACGGTTCATACTCTTACTATTAAACTTGTGTATACGTTTTGGTCCTTCTCGTATCATAATTTGTTTCATTGGCCTCGTTATAGCTTTTTTTCTTATCTCTCGTTTTTTCTAAATTTTTGCGTGATTTATCTGTCTACTTCCTTTCATCCAGAAATCAAGAGACAAATTAGTAAATCTTTTGGTGTCGAGACACCCAGTGCCCCTAGCAGTTTAAAACCGAGCAAGCCGAGTGATCGCTAATTTGTGTGTCGTATCCTATTGTGAACCCGCCTATCTATGTTCTATGAAAGCTTGCGACACTCTTGAAACGTTTCTCATGTGACAACTTGGAACAAAACCCAAAATAAGCTCCTCATGTATCCACTTGACTGACCACCTGTCTCGAGGAGAGCTGATTGGGAGTTCATCAGATGAACCCCTTGAGGAATCCCACCATCTGAAATCAAACACAACTTTGATCTACAACCCTGATAGTACAGCCACCAGAGACATTCCCATATTTATGAGGAATTCCTACAATCATCCCATTTCACTCGTGCGCTCATTTGTATGAGGTACCCAAAACCCGACCGGAAAAATTCTAAACCTGAATGTCTGACACACATCCTTCTTTTGCTCCCAAAGACTGTCTATCGTTTCTCCAACATCAAGATCAATATCATTTGGTTCAAATAAATATCACTGCGCTTGATCCCGGAGCCTGCAATTGTTCATCTCCTCAAGTCTCAACTCTAACCAACTGAGATAAACATTTCATTGTCATGACACAAAAGCTGACAAAAGAAATGGGGATGAACTATGATCACATTGTGGTGGTGTGATCTCAACACGGTGGATAGCCGTGAAATGATGCCATTTCTTGTCACATAATGTATCCTGCTTGGATGATGTGCAATTGAGCTTGATCCATGCCATTGTTTCTGATTATCTATCTTATGATATACTCTTATTTTTTGGTATGAACATGTCTAGACCAGTTACCTAATCAACTGGTTCCTATTCAAGTGTTGGCTATTCCCTCCTGTTGTTGGTTCACAACGTCTATAATCTCCGCGGCTACAGTTTCTGTTTGTCTAGTCATGATCTTGTGGTTTAGTTTTGCCTCTGAGGGCTGTCTTTTCTTCTATTAGAGGGTTTGAAAGCTAGCTTTATGTTCACTTTAGCAATAAGAAAGCAGGACAAAGATGAAGCATTCCTCATAAAAAAACTGACCATATTGATCATCCCTTCCAGAGAACCACATGACACAGCATTCAAGAGAAGCCAATCAATAATCCTCAACTTGCAAAAATTGTGATCTCATCCATGTTCTAAACCCTGGGTCATCGCCTAGTATCAGGAGTTAAACAAGTTTTCATCTTATGATTGACGCCTCTGATCAATTTACAGTTTGACAATTGAAGAACTTAAGGTGGTTACAGTGACCTTTAAATGTTGGATTGTGGCCTGAACTGCCAGAGATTATCAAGGGGTCTACATAGATTCTTATGCCTTCAATAACTTTGATATTGCTTTGGCTAGGTTTTGCTATCATGCATTGTCACAGTCTATATCACTTCTCATCATAGCATTGTACATGGAGGTTGTGAATTTAAAGGACAATTAAACTGTGTCAGTAACAATGGAGGGAGGGAGGGAGCCATGGATGGATGGTCTTTGATGTAGCAATGTGCAAGACTCAATGCACCATGTCCTTCTTGCGCAAAAGTATCAAATTACATGTTGACTTTGACTTGAGGAACTCGCGATACCATGAAAGCAGATCCAGTGAAATGGTAACCATGTACATCAGTCCGTATTGTGGACTTTGAGGTTATGGGGTACTGACTGGGTCAATGGGCTATCAATAGCATATAGGCATCATATGTCTGACTTTGGAGTAGTCTCAGAGCTTGGTCAAACTGGACTTTCAACGGGATTCTGCTATCAAGTGCAAGGATAGAATGACACATTATGCGCAAGGATGCATATTTAGAGGACACAGGGTTAAAAAATAAACAACAGCGGTCAAAAAAGCCAAAAGTAAAAAACTGCACTCAAGTGGACAATGAGTGAGCAAAATCGGGGATATACACAGTTGCGCATATGTACAATCGGACAAAGGATAATGAAGTTTGAGGCATGAGCATGGACGGAATACGGCCACTTGTGTGAGATGACTCGCCCGGTGTTACAGAAGCTCTTTGTTTTATAAAGTGCCCTTAGGCCTTTACTTGCTCATCTCTTAAAAACTTGAGGAGGCTGTGGGGTATCTTATCATGCCTTCTTTGACGGAGGTGCAAGGGGCTTGCCGATGTCGCTTCCACGCAATTTGACTTTCAAGATACGTTCAAACTTAGCCAAGATCTGAGGATTAGGGACAGCACGACCGGCCTAAAGAATTGAGACAGCAGCATATGTCAGCAGCTACATTCATCGGTACGTTCGGCAAGAGAGTGGGATAGGTGATAGACCTCGTAATCATTGATGACACTGGGTTTCTCGTTAGTTTTGGTAGCGAGGTCCTTCTGGGTCATTTGCAAAGCAATTCGTGCCTGACTCATCGCTTTTCCTACCGAGGGTGAGACCTTTGGAGGTGGTGCGACTTCGTTGACTCGATCAAGCTTGGCGATACGTTGGTGATCAGGCCCGGCGTGACCGGCGTTAATAACCGCTACGAGATATATCAAGCGTAAGTCGCCTTCAAGTGTTCTATGTGGGCAATATCACTCCGATGATCACGCACTTTTCTTCTCAGTACCAACAGCCACTCCAGCTCGTCTAGCTGCATTCACAACGGACTCGTCTTTCACCACCCTCGGTCCTTTGGCTCGGTTGCCAATCACGACTTGAGAATCCCCTGTAGATAACAAAGGAATGGTTTGAGAAAGGAAAACAGATGCTTAGATGTGCCATTCCATCGGAGGTCGCTGGGCTGTGTCAGTCCAACCAATGGTGTTCGTCAAGAGTGGTAGAAATGGCAAGTTACGCACAATCAGTAGTGGAGCCCATGTTTGTTTGAAGGTATTAAAGCTTTTCGAAGGTAAGGGATAGATGAGTGCTCGAAGATTGAAAGGTGATGGATGGATGTTCGTTTGATGGATGAGTTGAGAATTGTCGTCAAGCACCAAAATACCTGGCTGCAGTTTCTATCAAGTTCTACCCGATGATCGGGTGGAAGACAATTACGGACCGCAGGGCCAATAAAAGCCACGGACGGAGTGCTCCGCCCTCGCTCACTTTTTTTTGGTTCAACTCGATCGCGGTTTATTTTCTACACAAGCAAAATAGAGAGAGCATTGAGGATCTGATAAGACACCGCATCCAATGTCTGAATCTCACATTCAGTTCTTTTTGTTGTTATGTCTAAATATGTATCCAAATCCTTTCGAAACGACATGCACGAGCAGTGAAGGTTTCTCATAGCAGATGATTACATAGCCTGACATGGCCAAGGAGGTTCATGAGCGCACGTAAAAAACATCCAGCGTGTTCAAAGTGTGAGTGTTCGCGATCATGACCTTGACCAGGGGCTTCGCTTGCCTGAAAGCCCCGGTATTAGGGAAATTGAACACAACACGTTCGTAATTTCCGGATATGAATCATGTACAACGTAGGGCAAGAACATCGATGATGAAGAAAGACGACTTGTCTCAAGGTGAAAGGTGCCCTCCACCACAAATCCTGTATGCTATCAGTAAAACAGGTTTCGCCCTCTTCTGCGTGGGTAAAAAATACCCACGATCATGCTCCGAGCAGAAGATATGAGAAGAGGTGAAAACAGCCAAGCACTTCTTAGACAGATGTAAGACACGATGAAAAATGCTCATTCAAGTCCCTGTCACCTGGACGTACTGCATCCTAGCATTGTATCATTGACCACACACAGCATCTCTCCGACGAGTTCTTTGCCTGTGACTTTGCACTTGCGAGGTAGGGAGTGGATGTTGCATGTTTCGTTTACATCTGTGGGGGTTTCATGGATTTGATTGTGGAATCACCTGATGAACAAAGCAAATGAATGTCACCTGATGCGGACAGATTCATTCCAGATTTCCGCTTGTTTTGCTTAATGGAATGGCTTGGGAAGGGATTGTTTTGAAACAATGTAAATGCCTCAAAGGCTCTTCGAAGTCCTCAAAAACGCGGCCATCGTCACTCAGCCCCTCTCAGCATTGTCCCACACACACACCTTCCTTTGACTTAACTTATCCGAACATTATGCTTTTCAAAACAATCTGTCTTTTGGCCCTTGCTACACCTTTACTGGCATTCAGCGTCATCTACACCGACTGCCAAGGTGAATCACTTCTATCATATTGTCAAACCACCTTGGAAACAGGATTCTCGTCTACAGAAAACAACAAATTCCATCATGCGAGTGGGGCCCATGAATATTATACTGTCGGACTTTGTAAAATCACCTTTTGGACGTAAGCTACTCTCTCGTCTTCAAGTGCAGAGAACATTCTACATTTTGATCAAAACTTGTTTGTACCTACGGTTCTCTAAAATAGTTCAGGGCCTCGTTTGCAATTTGATGATACCTTGGGCTTCACACGCGCTCTAACTGTAAGTGATCTTTAAATATTTCTGACCTACATGTGACTAAATATTGGAGTTGATGTTTTCTCAAATCTTCACTTTAGCAAATCGACCGAACATGTCGAGACAAAAAATCAAAGTCTGATAATGGAAATCTATTCTCCGGAGTCTTTGTAGGATACCTTGTCAGTAGATTGATTTTTGTTCTTTTATCCATAAGTTTTCTTGTAAATTAAAAAAATCGGAAATGTGTTGATTTCGGTCTATCAATGTTCTTCTTTTAAAATTACTCCAGGATCCTTACCCACAGACACCTGTTGTGATCCAAGTCAATGGATCTTAAGATTGTAACTTTAAAAACAAGCGTATCTCATTTCACAGATTGCTTCAAGTCTTTTGTTTTTACCCTTTCATTATCTTAACCATGTTTGTTTACAAGAGCCCAAAGAAGACGTTCATGTTCACCATTCACATCTGCTAGAAATCCACGCTTTTTAGTTGTAGGGGAGATTTAGACACTCTTCAGAATTCCTAGCCGCAGATCCTGAGTAGATTTGCTTACCATCTTGAAGCAAAAAGTAGAGATTTTATCATCCTATCTTACCAGGCCGAGAATCTATACATCGTTACATCATGTTACATCACAGGAGCTAAGGTAAGAAATTCTGCCTGATCACAAGGCCTCTGTGTTATTCACCAATTTTCATCACTACAAATCAGTATACTTACTATGTAGTTGATATTTGATTCATAAACAATGTTACTGTAATTGTCTCTGTCACAAAAATGTGAAGAGAATGAAAACATAGCCAAGAATGAACCTATGATCTTGTACTACTTACTTCAAACTTGTTAAACAACGCATTACAAATCTTGGATTTATCAGTCCGTTGGATGAAGTGATTGTATTGTTCATCTGGATTGGACTCAAGCTACTTGTATGTCGTAGGGAATAGGTGGACAGAACGGACGCTGATGATAATCGTGTGGGAGAAATTGGGTTTGCATATGGTGTTTGTGGATGAGTCTTCATTCTAATATGTAATTGTCACTTTGTTTTTCTTTTGTGCGTTCGCGGCCCGGTGTCCCCAGCCAAAAAGTGCGCTTCCCGGCGCGTCTGGTTCGAAATGGAACGGCGAAATGAGATGATGACCGATATACCAGAGCCTCAGAATTGAAAGGATGGCGCCTCAGCGGTCTTGAAGACTGCTTGCTTGAGGTCGGACGGATTTAAAGCTTTTTGAACAAAATGATTCGCGTGCCAGCTGAGCCAGGCTGAGTAGTTTAGTTCAAAATTCTGATTGTTGATCGACCTTCTTGCTCAAGGGTCTTCATTATCTATCACATCACTCATGGTGATTCAAATTGTTTTCAAACGATTTGTCTATTTCACAATTCTTATAGAGTGACGGAGAAAACCTGAATGATTGATGAAAGTGAACCTTCTCCGACCGACTGATGTCTTTTAATGCGTGAAATCGATTTGGACTAGTTCTCTGAGGATTGACGACCAGACAAGTAGAACTGATCGGATAAATCCCCTGTCTGATTCCAACCCATTATTTGACGCAATACAGAGCGGATCAGAAGACGATGGCTGATTAAGATTCGAGCCCCTTTCAGGCTACTTTTTCATTCGGAAGGCATTTAGGTGTGTGATGATTGATTCGTACCAGCTTTACCTGGCCTACATGGCGAGCTAGTTTGCGATTTGGACCAAAGGCCTAACTCCGAGTGTTAGCTGGCAGTGGTATGGAAGCCATCGCTTGGTCAGCTTCAGGGACCTTGGGTCAAGTGTGGTACAGAGGAAATGGTATAAAAGCTTCAATATGTTGTTCCATTCGATCTCTCATCCAAATACTCATCATACTTTCTAACCCATTTACCAAACTTAACATTTGACTCTTTTTGCAACTTTCAATCAACCAATCAATCAATCAACTAAACTCAAAAATGGATAACCCAGTTGAAGAAGTTAGTTCTTACCCAATCCGTGTCCATTTCAAGATTTCTCATAAATCGTTTGGTATTATTTATTCAGATCCGAGATGTTGTCCGATCCATCACTGAGCCATATGAGGCAAGTGTGATCGCAGCAAATGTCAGGAAGTAAGCTATATTCATTTATTTTCAAGCATCGTGTAGTTCATGGTCTAATTCTTTTTCAATTTCGTTGCATAGGTATTTTACTACTGATGCTACCATTGAACATCCAGTACTCAATCAACCCGCTTCTGTGAACGGTAGAGATGACTTGGAAGGAATTTACAAAATGCTGTTAGTGATAAAATTCATCATTTGTTTTCATATATTCATTCATCCATCGCAACTGACTTACACTGACTTGAGCTTTTTTCCTTAGACGAGTGATGACTGTGAACAATAAAATTGATTTCCATGCTGTGATGTTTAATGAAGATATGACACAAGGTGCCATAGGTTAGCATTCTTTTTCTTCTTCATTCAACTACAATGTATTTGCAAAGTTCTGAAACCGTATCTTACACATTTTCTTAGATCTTACCGAATGGATTAACTTTAGATGGAATCCATTCTTATCATCAACAAAACTCCCAGCACGACTTTTAGTACGTATAGATCTAAAGAAATGTGAAGATGGTAAATACCGAATCTGGAGGTAGGTCTATTCCTTAATAATGACTCATAATTCACCCATGCATGGTATCAGAAAAACTCATAAATTCCATTTCTCATCGTACATTCTAATAGACAACAAGACAATTTCCCAAGTGATTTAACTCAATCTGGTCAAGCTCAATTAATACCAGGTCTTTCTACCTTGAACACTATAGTGAAAACTACGGTAGCCATCATGACTGCAAAGATTGGTAGAGTATTGTTAAGTCGAGGTTGGCTTGGTCCTTGATGGATTTCAAAGTTGTGGATCTATTTTGTGATTTGTTATAAAGAAATTCCCTTTATCTTGCATGCAATCTCATATACCGTTCTTAATTTACTTCAACAGTATTTGTGCAGATAGTTGATGCACAAAGTCCCACAAATAACATGTTCAAATGACAAATGGATCATGACAGTTCTGAGTAACACAAGCGCTGAGATCAAAACAGAGACTGCTCAACACGAAAGCAACTACTTTCTTTCACGGATTTGGTGGATCAAAGAAAAAAGCTTTACATTATGTTCTTGGAATGTTTCATAATCAAATAAATCCAATTGAAAGCCCATTGCCCCGGAGTAAGGCCAAAAAATACCTTCATCTCACTTCATCTCATTCTTTCAACCATCATTCTTTTCCTATCAGTCAAAACTTCAAGAATTAATCCAAATCTCTTACACTTAATCTGTACCTTTGCACAGTCACAACGCTGAGACAGCTAATCTACCTGTAGCTGATAATCTAAGATAGCATAGCTAAAAACATGTGGCTAAGCTACAGCTAACATGAATCAGCATGAACAAATTCCAGTTACCCTACGCACAGTCCCAGGAAATGTCCAGCTAACCAAATTTTGGCCCTGTAGTGTAGTGTAGAGCCACAAAAATCAGCTACAGTAGCTTGTAGTGTAGCTTAACTTGACAAGCTACACTATCATGAAGGTCGGATTCTTGTTAACTACATACAGCTACGCTACACACAAAACATATGGTAGTGTGTTGTAGTCTAGCTGTCTCAGTGTTGACAGTGACCATCAATTCCAAGAAACCGTTGAATCTGATTTCAAGAAGTATGGAGTAGCATCAAGCATCATTTCTTTGAACTTATCAATAAACAATAAACCAAGTGACCAGCATACAAATTACCAACCATTCATAAAAAATCTCTTTCAAATATCAATCTTTTATCTCACATATTATGTCTTACATCTTTTCTATTTACTAAGCTTTGATATAGAAACTCCTCCTTGACACAAAACATTGAATTTCTTCAAATCAAGGTGTAAATAATACTCACACAACACAACACAACACAACATGGGCACTAGGAGGATACTTCTAGAGACAAGAAATGGTTACAGAGCCAAGTGACGTAGCTTGACGAAATGATGAAAAAGCCAACTCGCGTTGCGTTGATTGCTCTCACGTGCAATCTTACTAATTCCTCTCATTACCTTTCACAATAATGAGCTCTTTACCATCTCCGATTATGCTATATATAATCCTCCAAGTGGATCTTCGGACTCTTGTTCCCACTTTATTATCTCAAAGGTTTTTAGTATCCTCTGATTACTCGATCCCAATCTCCTTTAGTTGTTCATAGATTTTAGAACTCTTTGATTCATCTAAAACAATTTTTTCGACCCACCTCTCCTCTCCCTTTTTTATTGAGGCTTGTACTTTTTAGTTCCGCCCCATAGCGGACCTTTTTATTGCCTTTGAGTCAGTTGTACTTTCTAGGACACTATCCTGTATAGTTTTATCCTTTACATTGCAACTAGGGCTCCTGCCCCGATTCAAGCTAAAAACCTCTATCATGAGTTTTAGCTAGAATCACCCAGGCTCCATACCTATTCTCAACTCCAGAAAGTGTTCCAGTCTCATTAACCATTTTCCAAACCCAATCCAAACCCAACCTCAATTTCATGTAACCAGGTCCAACCCAACAACCCACCAACCCACACAAACCTCAAACTCCTTAGCATTAAAGTTAATTTGTCTTTAAACTTAATATTCCTTAATATCTTTAAAACCTCACTGACCCACTCTTGAACCATACCCATCTATAGACTATCACACCAAAGAAAATCCCATAAGTCCTCATGACCTTCATCCCAAACCTTACCAATAACCAATAACCTTATCCAAATCCTCAATGATTTTCCATACTAGCCAGACCCTCAATTCGAGTGGTGTAGTACTAGATCTTAAAGCACAGCTAGATGAGCTGTAAATTAAGGATAATAGAACCAGCTGAAACATTCACAAGATAAATCCTAAGCCAATCTACCTCAAAGTGAATTTTTTCTGGATAATTACTTGGGTATGTAGTACAAGTAGCCCAATCCAAGTCCTTTGATAATCTTAAGCTCAAACTCCAATTGTTCATAGTTGGTAATTCACTCACAAATGGGTCTACTGGATATTTTGCTTGGGTTCCAAAAGGTTTCAAGTCTCATGAAAATGCATCAAATCAATTCTTTTGTATTCCTTTAATTTCTTTCTCTTTAAATAATCAAACTTTCATACATGATCAATCAACCTTCAAACTGTTTTTTCTAAACCCTTGTTTTCTGTTTTCTGTTTCCATTACCTATCTATCTACCAATCTCTCTGTGACGTGCCTACAAGCAAAAAAGTCATCTCCTTCCATCATATGTCATCATATCACATATCACTTGCAATACATTCCAAACCTTCAATCATCACACAAACTCAACCACCAACCAAGTCATCCATTTCATCAATTTCATAAACCCTTAAACCCATCAACCAAATAACAAAAAAAACTCTCATTCATTCATTCATTCAAAAACACACATCTAGTCCAAAATTCAAAATTCAAAAGAAAAGTAAAAAAAATTCAATAAACAACAAAAAAAAAATTCTCATAACCAAAAAAAGAAAACAATCACAATCACAATTCAAGGAAAAAAAAACACATCCAAAAACACATTTTTTTTTCTTTCGTTCTTCAATAAACATTTCAACCTTTTTTTTCTCATATATAATATATCTAAAAAAAATAAAAAATCTCAACCCACCTTTCTTCAGTACAAACCTCACATTCACAATCAAAAAAAAGAAACCAAAAAAGTAAAAGAAATAATGAAATCAAAGTAAAAAAAAACAATTATATATATATATAAATTGAAAAGAAAATGTAAAAAAAAAGATATGTAAAGAAAAAAACTAGAAAAGAAAAAAAATGTAAAGATATGAAAAAAAAAAAGTTAAAAAAGAACACAAGAAACTTAATCTAAATTTGAGCAAAAACACATTTTCATTTTTTCTTCCCTTTTTATCTTCCTCTCTCTCCCTCTCGTTCGTTCATCATGTTTCAATTCAAGCAAAAATAAAACAATAAAAGAAACCTTTTTCCTTCGGTTCATCTACTTTCAAACTCATATATGATTATTACCATCATGATCATCAATGACGATCCCGGGATGGTTTCTAAACTTTCCAAATCCTTTAAACGTTCCACTTTCCGGTCCTTTAGGTTGTCTAATAATATGATGATTTTGTTGATGATTGAGCATGAGCGAATTAAAAGAATGTTCTAATTCAGGTGTGGTAGTTTGATGATGATGATGAGGTGTCGATCTCAAATTCACAGTTGACTTTCGACCTCCCAACGAATGTACCATCTTAGGTTCTCCACTTCTCATATCTGGCATCGATTTCTTCACTCGTAAGGATGACAAAGCATTCTTCGATGGTTTACTCACCACCACAAATCGTTCGTCTCCTACTCCTTCAGATCGATGTTCGAGTTCCAACTTTTTAGCAATCTGATGAACTATTCTTCTTTGAATGGACGTCAACGATTTCGCAAACGCAAATTCGTCTCGAAAGTTATCCTCCTTGAAAATCACAATCCTAGAAAACAATTCAAGCGTTTGTGGATCGTTCATATCTAATTCCTTGGCAACCGAGCTTTGTAAAGATTGACTTTGCGAAGGTGGTGGTTGTTGCAAGAATTCCGGAACAAAGGGTCGAGTGGGTAACATCTGATTAGGTTCCGAATCTTGTTGATGATAAGCAAAGGAAGAAGGCATAGGTGCTTGTTGATGATGATAAGGATCAAAGACAGTTTCCTTTTGTAACTGCATACTTCTCATCCGTTTGATCGCCTTTTCTTTTTCGATCCTTTCCTTTTCTCCTGCTTGTAAAACTTTCTTATATTCTACTCTCAATTTTCGTCCGGTAATATCAAATCCGTTAAGTCCTGCTACGGCTGCATCAGCCTCGGATGCAGATCGAAAGTTGGCGAATGCTAAACCTCGGAAGACACCATTATCAAAATGGTAATCTGTGATTCGATTCGAAAACATAAACATAAGCCATCTGCCAGAAACGTATTGAGAGGTCGAGTAGACTTACTGAAGGCATAGGGAGCTGGAATCATTAAATCATCTAATATAGCTAGTAATTGCTCTCGTCTGACACTGAAAGGAACTGTGAAAAGCAAAGAGCATGTCAGCAAGCTAACCAATGGTTAAACGATCCAAAGTTTTCACAACTCAACTGTTCTTAATCACAATTGCGGTTGGAATGACTTCATCATCAGATTCAGCACTACCTGGCACAAGACTACTGTTTCCAGTCAGAGGAGTACCGAGGGACTTGATAATCAACCAAATATCGAGTCAGAGATCAATAAGAATACGTGAGAGAACGCGGAAAAAAAGACACACGCTTGGGATATTTCCAGAATGATTGGTATTGGTACGCGAGACAGGAGCCGAGACACCAAAAGGGACAGTAGCAAACTGACCAGCTGAAGAGTTTGAAGAGGCTGACATGTAGGGAGGATGAACTAAATCCGAAGTAGGAGTATATTCCGAATCACTGACAGAAGAGATCGAAGGTGTTCGATGACGAATATATTGTTGTGATGATGGTGGTTGTGGTTGTTGTGGTTGTGGATGATTATGATGAGATAGATAACTAGGTGGTAAAGCAGGCACTGAAGGTTCAAGAGATGGTTGATTATGAGCTACGGTGAATCGTTGAGATTGTTTCTATAATCGAAAATGTCCAAAGCAAAAACAGTTGAAACAAAAAAAAGGAGTAAGTCAAAAGGTTGAAATCAGATTTGGTGAACGGATATAGATAGAAACTCAAAGATCGTATCATCATCAAAGAAAGATGTTAAGAAAAGGTTAAGATGACCGGAAATGGTAAACAGGTGGTCAAAAGGTAAAATGTTGAACCATCAATCAACATGTTTCAGAAAAAAAAAGCTACAAACTCGTCAAAAAAGACTTTTTTTGGAATTAGAAATACAATCGAAAACCGATAAGATCAGAAAAGGCAAAGGATCAATCAAAGATCAAAGTAAGAGGAGTTCGAATGATGATAGTAGATGAAAACGATCAGATGGATGTGATGGTGATCGACTTTGAAGTATAGATAAACAAAAAGACGATCGAAGAACAAAGTATAATATATCCAAACAAAGGAGTGAAAGGTAAGTTGAAGGGTGTATGTAGTGGTAGTAGTAGTAGTATTAGTAGGGTTTAGGTGTTAAAGAGGAAAGATGAAATGGTAAACAAAGATCTGAAGTTAGATTGAATTACCTTTCTTAAGCTAGGAGGACCTCTTTCCTTTTTAATCGAAAGATCATTAGGTTCATTGTTAAGTAAAGGATGATGATGGTTTAAAGGTTGAGTAGATTTAGTTAATTCAAGTTGATGATGATTAGTTGAAGTGATCGTGACTGAAGTAGGACTATCATGATGAGAAGTTGAATTATTAAACATTTTATTATTGGTTGATGATGAGGTTGGATGATGGCTTTGTTGCTGTGATGGCTGATTGTTATTAAATAATTCAAACTGATTGGAATTGGAAGTTGAACTTGGTTTATTAGAATTCGAATTCATGATTCTCTTTTTGATTTTTGATTTCTGATGGATGGATGGAGATGAGTCGATCGATGGCTTATGTAAGATTGGATGAAGTCTATTTTTATTTGAAATTTTATTTTATTTTATTTTAAAAAAGAAAAATGGAGAAAAAAAAAGAAAAAAGAAAAAAAAAGACAAGTCGATGGGGTGTGTAGATTTACAAATCGTGAAAGTCGATCTTGATTCGATCAAATTTACAACCAAAATCATCATTTGATTCTATTTTTCGATTTCAATTCGTGACAGATTCATTGACATCTTTATCAATTAAATCATTCAATCAAAATACACAACCAAACTTGACTTAATTTTTTAAGTCTCCATCCGGAGCGCTCATATGTAGAGGCACGCAAGGAAAGAAGCCCCTATGTAGTCAATGGAATCCCAAGTTGGATACATATCGCAGCGATCCAAGTTGGTAAAAAACAATATATCATATATTGCGGATACGTGACATATTTCATTATTACCAATTACATAGCTACTCTCATGATCCAAAGGATTTCCGGTAGTTGTGATATTGGAAAGATTCTTAAATATAAAGCAAGAAAACTTCAAAGCTAAACAGTCTGTCCTCTCCTCGTCATTTCCCTACAGATTCCGTTCTTCAACTTATTATGTATCAGCAATAAGTCGTAAGTAATAGACTCTGCTTATAACTTTTTCTCCTTCCTTACTCTATGGACTTCCCAATAAATAAGAAACACCGTGGTACGGGGTATATCATTCACCTGATATAGTTCTTCTTGAACCTCAACCAGTACCCTTGCAGAACTAGTTAAAGACATCCAATTTACGCTATCACCATTGAGGAAGACCCTCCATCCAAACACTTGTATCCATGTAAAAGCATACACTCAGCAAAACACAGTAGTAAACTTGGAAATCAAATTGTTCAATGGAATACCTATTTGAATGCATAACTTATCAGCTAAAATACTTATAAGTGACTCAGATAAAGTGAATAACCACCATACTAGAACAAACCCAGTAAAACCCTTAAAAGAGTCTACATTGCACTATCTAAAGAAGTGTAAGAAACAAACCTTTGAAATTGTAAAAACTCAAACTCTTATTCTCGGAGGAAGAAAGAGTGATCTCCAAAGTCGAATTTCTTCCCTTGGAATCACTCACACACTCACACACCCACTCACACACTCACACACCCACTCACACACTCACATACTTTCTTGCAAGATCTTTATTTGGTGATAACTTTGGAAACAAATGGTAAAAAATCTTCACACTCATTACAAACTTTAAAATCTTGTTTTTTGTTTGTAAATCGGAAATCGGAATTCATGGTCGACTATCGAAGCTTTCTGATCATTTAGAAAGGATGTGAAATTTAATTTGAAGAAGTTGAAGAATGGTTTGGTTTCCATTTCATTTCCGATCATGATGATGAGAATTCAAAACAAAACTTTACCCTGGAGTATGTAAATACAGATGGATTTTATCATTTCGGACATCGAGTTAATCTTTTGGAAAACCGACTTGAGAATGCACAAAAGAGACAGAAATCAAGTGTTTATATAGAGAAGTTTTTATGTTCTGGATTGTGGTTTAAAGGGTAATTAGATAACCAAGAAAAACTAAACTTGAGATACATAAGGCTAATAGGTTAAAGCATTTTATCATTAATTGAATTTCCACAAGAATGTTTTTACCATCAAGTTGAAGTACAATGTCGTTCTTGAATAACTGAAATTTGAGGTTTTTTGGTTCTCTGTTACTTCAACTTGAGCTCAAGGGTCCGGAATTGATGTTTGTATATATTCGAGATTTTTCTTGGAGGTGAAATTCATTAAACTTACAAGACTTTTGGGATCTTTAAAGAAGTTTATATTAGACTATCTAAAGGAATGGAATCTAATTAGTCAAAATGGGTTTTAAATGTTAAACCTTTTTGAAAGTACATCTGAGAATGAGAATCAATTTTTCTTCTTAAAAAGTAATGTGATTTATTCGTATATATGATGGTTTCTTTTTTGTAATCACCCTTTTTTAATTTCAAAGAACTCCTTTCACAAAAGAAGAGTTGTAATTCTTTCAAGATTATAATCACCCTTTCTTTAAGTATATGTTATTTTCAGTCTCATTTGATAGATCCCAGTTTGTTAAGATTAAAGAGAGAATAAAGATCAGATGAATAGATCCAAAGAAACGTATTTGTTTAATAAATTTCCCGATCAAACAAATCATTTAATCCATTCTTTTCTTGTAAAGCATTACCAACTTTCATGGTTCTCTTTGATTGATGGAATATGGATCCAGAAATGAAAAAAATCAAGATCGTTTTGAACAAACTATAAAAGATCTCAAGAGTGATACATAATGTAAATTCACACTTTTTCCATAAAGAAACAAATTTCAAAGTTAAGTACATTCCAGATTTCGATGACGAATTTTCTATTGAACAAATCATGTAAGAACTGGTTAAAGAATCATATATCAAATCCAATCGATTTCTTAAAATCTTATCATTTTTTTCAAACAAGATTTAAACCCTTTTCGTCATAAAGAATAGTTGATCATCAAATCATATTCAAAGTTAAAGATATTCCATCATTATAAACATTTTCTTTGAAAATTGTAAAAAAATTAAAGCGAACTGAAGGTTAATTAATATCATAATACAAGTCAAGTTTTCCACTTTATCAAGAAGTGGGTCTAATTGAATCAAAAAAAGTAAGAAGACAAAAAAAAGTTAATCGTCTTCAAGGATGTTATGTGATCTGTGATATGAAATCATTGATGTACAAGTATTTAGCGTATCCCACAAATTTCGGAACATAGTCTAGTAAAACGAATAAGAGCAGGTGATAAGGACCGATACTCTTTCACGAGAGATGATAGATATCAGATGATCTTAAAGAAAGCAGTCTATGATAAACTTTAACCCCTTTTCACGGGTCCAGTACGTTTCTTAAACTTAGATTTCCCATCAGCCTTTTCGGTTCGTTTTCGTTGTTTTTTAGCTCTTTCGATCTTTCTTGTAGCTTTACTTTCATAAGGTATCCTACCAGGTTTTTTCTTTTTAGTTGGTCCAGTGGAAGAATGATCAAAAGGTTTTTTAAATCCATCTCGGCTGGTTGATGTAGATGGTTTGGTAGGTTTGGAAAATGATGGATCAGTGGTTTGATGACTGCTGGATGGTTGGGATTCGGTTAGGACAGTATGATCAACGGAAAATGCTTCTACTGTGACTGTTGTTTGGGATTTCGATGCATCCTTGTTGGATTGACCTTTCGGTTCTTCTTCGTCTTCATATCTTTCTTCATCTTTTATTCTTTCTTCATCTTCATTCTCATATGTCTCTGTATGTTTCGGTAAGAGTTGATCCAGTTCAATAGTCGCAAAAGCATCATCTATGATCCACCCAAATCAACACAAATCAGATTTCGTTTCTTTCTATAAGATTAAGAAACGAGACAAAGATCTAAATTGGTATTGAACCTTACCTCCATAATACTCGGCTTGCATCTCAAGATTTTCTTTGACTTTAGCCAATCTAGTAGCCTTTAATTGTCGACGTAATTCAAGTCTTTCTTCTCTTTCACGACGAGTTGCACGTTGTTGAGCAGCTAACTTGGCAGCTTTTTTCCTTGTAGAGAAACCAGTAAGATATTCACTAAGAAAAAATCAATCAAAATCAAATCAATCACATTAGAGGAAAATAATGATCATTTCATTATTAGATTTTTGAAAAAAAATGACTTACTGTCTAGCTGTATCATCAAAGACGGCAGCTTTACGATCAGTTTTGAATGGGAATTGACTTGATGCACTTTTTGATCCTTTATGTTTTGTTCTTAATTCTGCTCGTCTTTTGTTTCTTTCTTTTGAATTGGTATGTGGCATTTTGCAAAAAATCGTTTGACTTTGTAAGTTTTGTTGCAATTTCAGTTTTCTTGGAAGATCAAAAATCTCAATACAGCTCAAAACCTTTCATTCGATTTCGGGTATTTTACCTTGGCCCTGGTCATCTCATACTCATGCGGTCCTGGGAATCAAAGCCCTGTGACCTGTCACCCTTCAGTGATCCGAGCCCGCAGCGGCGATCGAAGTGATCGAGAATCAGATGGCTGAAATCCATTTCCAGTGGATCAAGAAAGAAAAATGCAGTCAACAAAAGAGACCGTGCGGAAGCCTCGCAGGTCACTTATTCTTCACTCCGACTCCTATGAATGCACTCGTTGTTCTGATTCACTCTCAAGGAGCTCATTTATCTCATAACGAATTATGGATGTGGAGATTTGACTTTTAAGGATCTAACCCTCGGGACTTGAGTGAAATGATTTGAAAACCAAGCTTGAACCGGTTGATCATGTAAGATGACCTTCATCACATCATAAATATTTAGATACATCATCCAGCCTGAGCTGGGGTGATTGCATCCATTTGGAGGAGCTCAAATAAACTGATCTACAGCTCAATCTCGTGGCGAATTGCTTTTTGTCGTCACAATGGGATAATCTTTATGCTTGGAATTGATCACATAACATTTTCGGCTTGGAATGTGGTATACATTTCTTCAAGCCAAGTTAATGTAAAATACAACGAAGGCATCCGATTTTACCTAGAATCAAGTAAATGTATTTATCATCAACCAAAAATGCGCATAGAAAGGTAGTAACGCTTCAGTCTATTCAGATAATAAGGCGTTATTTTCAAAATCTCACTGGCCATTCTTGGGGTTCAAAATAAAGAGAGACACAATGAATGGCATGAAGGACAAGATTTTAGGAGAATCAATTCAACAATCAGTAGGATAAAGAAAGTATAATTCTTTGATAGATTTCTGAGAGCCTTGTATGTATCATGAAGGAGTAGTTATAAGTCAATGATGAAAATGTCTTTGAATTTGAAGATTCGAGATAAGTCTTTGTTTTAACAGATTGGCGGTAAGATCTCGCAAGGTGCAAAAACTTCCCAACTATGGTTCAGGATTCTATTTCAGATAAACATTTTTTTGAAGGAAAAACAAGTTAGTCTTTAGTAAGTTGACTTCAAATTGAAACACAAGAATTTCTTACGTGTTTGATTTATTGCAGCGCGAAGCTGTTTTGAGGAGTGCGCTTGAAGTCGATCTGAAAGATTCGCTCTCAGTGGCTCGTTGCCTGGGTCATCAAGATCATAACTATAAGCAATGGTGAAGAGACTACAAGGATGAGGAACATTTACCATGACGCCTTTTCGGCGCATCCCATGGACGCTCCCTTTTTGGAGATTCGAGGAACCTGAAAATCGAAGAGAAATGAGGCCAAGAAATAAGAAACACATGATCTTGTGCCATGGCAGATTGAGTTTCAACTTACGTCTCCCATCATGATACATGCGCCCTATTATTAAAATGTGAGATTAGTGAGGAAAACTGAGTAAGGGAAAGAAGGCGGTAACTCACAGCACTTCGAAGAGATTGAGAAACCTCCAAGATCTGGCGCAAGAGTTTCGCGTCCTCCTTCACGGATTTCACATGATCATCTGCGACAAAAAGACCTCCACGCAAAGCCGAAAGCATACCACCAGGAGAGTTGATGGGACTTGCAAAAGCAACCTTGACGTATGTTGTGATGAGGAGTTCTAAGGGGGAGGATTTTGGCATATTTCTTGCTTGCTATGATACACATAAATGCACGAGACCAAATCACAATCAAGAATCATTAGTTTCAAAAAAGGGACGGACAGGCCAAAGTGACTTACAGTGGATAAAGTAAGTCTTTCTTGCACTTCGTCAAACTGTCTTTTCTTCAGTTTGCTTGCCGACGGACTCGCCACTTTCAAAGGATAAAGAGGGATTAGCCTCCTTTATTTTGCACTGGGTCCGTACATCATATAATTGTACTTACCCGCTTTTGGCTCGCCAGTTACCTTTGCAGGCTCGATATTCCCTTGCAACCTTGTCATCTCAGCCTCTAATTTCGCCATTTCAGTCTGCAAGATATCTATCTGTGGCTGCTTGGATTTAGCAAGAATCTTAGCCTCTTTGGATTCGAGCTGTGTTTTCTGGTGCTTCTTCTGGTCGTGATCGAATTTGAGTTTAGCGAGACGTTTTTTATCCGCCTTGACCTCTCTCAAACGCTGCTGTTTCATTTTGCGAACAACACGGGCTTGTTCATCAATGACTGCCTGTACATTCTCTAATTTCAAGGCGGTGCTGTATTTCTGATTGAGTTCTCGCCATGATTTAGACGTATCCTTGATCATTTCGAGTCGTGCTTCGGTCAACGTCTTCAATTCCTCTCGCGGACTCAACCGTTCATAGAGCTCAGTCCATCCCTTTTGCAACAGATTCATCTCGTAGGCGAGATTTGCAGATTGGGTTGTAAGTAAGTCCGTTGGCGCAAATGAAATTCGAGGGGGTGGAATCTCGGGGATCTTGTTTTTTTCTCCGACAATTTTCATGGCTTCCGTAGCTGGATGTACACTACTTGAATCGACGTTGATATCCGGTAATAGAGGTTCTTCGGATACCACATCGGGAAAAACTTTCATTTTCATGGCTTTTTCAAACTTCTGATCAAGGATACTGAGTTTTTTGTCTGGTTTGTCTGATTTGGGCGTTTTGGGGTTTGTGAATATTTTTAATGAGGGAAAAGCCTTTGATTTAGAGGGGCTACCAGGGGTACGTTGAGTTGATCGAAAGATGAGATCGTCGATTTGTGCATTCTTGACTTGAACATTATCACGGAAATTCTGAATGATCGTTTTCGCATCACTTTCCAATTGAATCTTCATAGACTTGTACTGCTCAAGATCAATCTTATTCCAGTCTGACATTGCTTGGGACATTTTCGCGTGCATGGTGTCTAGATCGGCCGGTTCGTGTAGACCGCTGGAACGATGCAGCTTATTGTATTGTTGGAGCAACTCCCTTTCAATTTTTATCTTGTCATCCATAGGATTTGGATTGACCTTGACTGGGATTATTGATGGAAAGTCCGTTTTCGAATGCAGAGGGCTCGGGTAAATGCGCTTTTTGAGTCCAAACTTTCGCAATAAGTTTAAACCGTGCTCTCTGGTGATGCGTGTGAGCTCTTTGATGTATCTTGTGAAGCGAACAAAGACGTTTGGTGGAGGTGGAAGATCCAAGGCTCCGGGGATGAGGTTCTTCGCTACTGGGACATCTGATTCGGGCTTCCACAACAGCCAGGCTGGTTTCTCGGACTGTGATGCATGTTGTACGACTTCGGTAACTTCATCTATTTCTTTGGCTGAACCCGATCGTTTGACACGCTTATGCAAACGATAGCTGATGCTTCAAAACAATTATTCAGCTGATATAGTTCCTACTCTAATAAAGTCAAAACTGAAATATTCTCACCTGTGAGGATCACTTCGTTTGCCCCAAGCTAACAAATAGTGCAGAATCAAAGTTGATATGTCAGTCCGTATTCTACAGCGACAAATAATCAATAGGATGAATAAAAGCTTAGCATTACCTTCCGCACTTCGGGAGTGGTCGAGTCGCACTTCAGCCAGCAGGGCGTCTGAATATCGGACATAGTGATCTGCGGCCGCGAGGACCAACGAGTCTGTGAGATTGTGCTTATGTTGGCATGGTTCTCTTGATGTTTGAGACATGGACGAAACGTAATCCTGCGGGCAATAGTCCAAATTTAGCAAAGTGGCTCAGCAAAGTAAGATCAGGGCGTGCAGTCTTACCGTGAAAGAGATCGATAAGTTGCTCAGGTATTGATCCACTCCGGTTACGTTCCATGCTAGCGACGTGAACTCACGCGGATCAAGACCGTTGATTGAGTCAACGTTAGAATTAAACGAAGGAATTGTAAGGACGGTGGAGGTTAATGCAAAAAAACGCATTTCTTGAAATGATCTTTCTTGGTTTGTGTAAGATAGGTAACGAGTGACAATGACACAACTCTGCTATCGGCTGTGTTGCGCTGTGGGTGAAAGGGAGCGAAAGAATGAACGAAGTCGGCCGACGCGGTCCAGATAGACTTAAGGCTCCTGGAATATGGAACGAGCGCTGTTGAGGGCTGGGTAGAACTGAAAAGCCTTCACAAAAATCCCGTTGAAGAGATAAAGGGACTAATGCGAGTTATCAGCTTGTTACCATTATGGCTGTTCAAACACGCGGGGGAAATGATAGATGAACAAGGGGAATTAGGATGGTGAGACGCGGCATTGTGATAGAGGGAGTCTAGCGTTAGATCAAACGATGGTCAAGTTTTTCAGATCGAATCGTGTGATCCGCAATGCCACACCACTTTGAAAAACTGTTGACTCCGTTCAAGTAGTTTGTCTTACTGAATTTACCCCTGTTGGCGCTCAGCAACTCTAGATTACACCATTCATCCCGCTTGTCCGATCTGGTGTGATCAAACTCTTCATCGCCTCCACAGTTTCGTAAATCTCGGAGCGGTTGGAGGTATCAGGAAAATAATATGTACTCCGTGGGTTCCGAAACCGCACCTATCCACATTCGTCCAAGCTCAGTTCGTGAGGTTCTGTAGCAAGTAAAAAGCCCACAGAATTGCATCTGGCTATCTTGCTGACACTGCCCAGGCTTCGGGATTGGACATTGGATTTCTCGTCAATCGATCATCGATGATTGATTTGATGGGACTACTTTTTGTTCCCGAGAGTTGGTGCATGCGAAAGTGACGAAGTTTGTGGACGAGGAGATCACCGTCCAAGTTTTCTTGAATTGAAACTGTGTTTTGAACTGCATTAAAATTTCAAACACAGTGAGTGTGGCCGTGGCCCGTCTTGCAACCTATTCGAGACTCAGCAAATTTCATACTGGCCAGAGTGGCAACCCAGCAACAAAGGAAATCGCAGTGGCATAAACATGATGAAAAGAATATTCACGCTTGGTTTATTTGTGCACATGTCCTTCGCAATCAACCTAAAATGCATAAGAAGATCTGGGACAACTAGTTCCTAATGCCAGGATCTATCCAAGACTTGATCCAAGTTTTCTTCCAGTTCAAAGCATTTGTCTATAGCCATTTTCAGCTCATCTTCTTCACACCAATTTTTCATACTGATACCACCCACCTCTTTTTGGAACATTCAGCACCAACAATAATCAGCGTATCATTCCAGGGTCATCTTCACAATAGGACCAAAACCTCCTGCAATTGAAAATATATCTACATGATTTCAGAAATAAGTGAACACTCCCTTCAAACTGGAGAGTATTCTCTCAGGCTGAACTGCAGGTCAAGGAGATCAAGCCGAGCTCGCTCGATCATGACCAAGAATCCACACCTGCCAGCAGCCAAACTGACTCGTTTCAAACTGCTGCGCTGCTCCGCCGGATCCCAACCAAGTCAGTGTGAAAAATTTCTCGACGAGACCTTGACGAGACATTTCATAACATCCATTCGATTTGCGCAGGAAACAATCAATGCTTACTGGAGATATATATCAATCGAAAAGTTACATTTTTAGTTTCGCAGCCAGCCTCGAGCTCAGCAGACCTGTAGCAAGAACTGCATTCGTAGTCGTCTCATATCTTGACGAGTTTTAAAAAACCCATGTTGTGCTTGGAAAGATATATGCTGCGATTTACTCTTCTGTAACTTGCTCCAGATGAAAAGACCAGTTTTTTGATAGGAAGTCCCGCTGTCCAGCCTGGGACCAGCTACAAGAATAAAGTAAGAATAAAGAGTTCACCCCTTAACGTTCCACGCATATAGGTGATCACAGCTACCACTTTCATTATATAATTTCTCATAGGTTTGTTTCCACGCAAGGAAAAGAAAAGACAATCCTGATTTCTTGATCTTAATTCTTCATCCCTTTTTAAACCTTCGACAACCCAATCGGACGAAAAAAACTTGAAGTCGAAAAAGTTTTCTCAAGGAAGCCTGCAAGATGAAGCACTCGGAGCTCATTCTAATGCTCTCCTTCGGTCTATCAGTCTTTTCAAAACAATCAACATCGCCTGTTCCTTCTTCATCCTTACAAAAGCGCTCTCCAAAACTTAGCATTCTTAATGCGATGACAGGAGGTTCAGAGGGGGGTGGAACTAACCTCAATAGAAAACCGTGTGATCCTTTTGTGATCGATCCACAAACTTGGGTTGACTTGGATATAGATGGATACTTACAAAAGTATCCAAATGCTGATAGGATTACACTACAAGTGAGTCTTGATAGTGTTTGAATTGTGATTTTTTTGAAATTCTGTCTAGATTCATTTAGAAGTTGAAGATCTGACAGAAAAAAAAACTGAATTTATTAGGACTTTGCTAAAGATAATAATATGCCAAACTTCTTTTGTGGAGTTGGAATGGAGTGTAACGCTGGACAGGTAAGTCACGATTTTACAAACAATCAAACCTGATTTCCTAAAATCTGATCCAACATTGATTGAACATCGATTTTTCTTGGATAACAGCTTTGCCATCCAGCTCAAGGAATCAATTGGCTCATCTTATATGCTGCTCAGCAATGGAACAATTATATGAATTCGTTGTACAAGGCGGTTGAAATAGCTATTGACCTAGTTAGAGGTACGCGGTGATCTATACACTTTAAATTATCTATCTTTGTGAAGACTTCGGGTAGAGAAAAGTGACTTGACGTTTCCTTGGTCGACTAACAATTCAGATACGGCGTCTACAATAGTCTCTGATTTGTGAGTGACAATTATTTTCGGCGCTCGATCATGATGTCATAAGCTTACCAATCACTTCCAATTCCTAGTGCAACTACTGAGCCTATCGATACATCGATGTGGTGGTGGAGTTTAGGAAACGTTGTATGCGGTGTGATAGGTTCTATCACCGCTCTTGCCGTTCCAGCCTTTTTACCAGCAGATGCTATCATGGTATCTGCAGCTCTTGCATCCGCTGGACCTGCGGCCATGGCTTACAATGCAATGCCACAATCACATGGACCTAGTATACCACTTCTTCAGGAGGAAGGTAAACTATCCTTTGATGAAGCAAAGAAGGCAGCAAAACAAAGAAACTTTCATGAATTAGAGAAGCAAAGATCCGCACAAGATATTCAAACTATGAGACAATTTTTCTTAGATGATTCTTATAATAATCGACCACATAATCTTCATTATGAACCTTCACCACAAGTTATGGGTCAGTTTCAAAGGGTTCTATCTCCTCAAGATCCTTTCTTAGAAGGCGGTTTACGTGAAGTACATGAAGTAACACCAAGAAGTCCAGTATCGCCAAAGCCCCCAACTTCACTTCAACGTCGTAGCCATCTACAAAAACGAGGAAGACCAAGCTCATATGCATTTGTGAGCTCGAATCGAATCGAATCGAATCGAATCAGTAGTTTCATCAAAACTGATTATCGTTTTCCTTTATTGACCGCCAATAGACAAGATACTCGTACATTCAACCTCATTTAAATGCACTGCAGAACAGAATTCAAGGATTTGTTGCATTAACATTGAAGTTAGGAACTATGGCACCTATCTTAGCAGATGGAGGAATAGCTTCGATTCTTTATCAAGGTGCTTATCTAAGTCCTAATCCAAGTGAAGTTAAAATTCAAGAAGGTGCACAGAAATTAGCACAAATTTTGGTTCTGAGTCAATTCCTTAGAAGTTTGGTATGTGATTTTTATAAAACCTGATTGAGACTTTGGATGTGTTTCTTATTTAATATGTTTCTATCATTCTGGATATATGAAGAATATGTTTGTTACGATTGGAAGTGTGAGTGATATTTTTATAAAGACTACTATATAAGTCTTGATAAAACTTCCTTGAGGAGTAGTTAACCGTTGAAAATTGCATTTTTCTGTTATCTTAGGATCCTTGCAAGTACAAAGGGCCAAATGGAGCAAAAAACAAACCTGGAAACCTGTCCTACTGCACCCCTGATGGCTTGTAAATCGGATTTTCAACTTTATGAATTCCCTCATAAAAACATAAAAACTGATGAGCGATGATTTTATTAGGATGATGAACATTATTTTATCACATCAAGATAAAGCTATCAACGAGATCCGTAATGCGAATTTATTAAAAGACAAGTACGGTTACAGTGTAGAATTCTTGACTAAATCCGCTTGGGAATGTCAAAAGAAATATGGGATTTATACAACTGCAAAGTAAGTTTAGATTAATCTTTCATCAGAATTTGTTTAAAAGATTTATAAATTTGGTACATTTTTTTCGTTTTTTTAGGCCACCACCACCTTCTAGTATGAGATCTGATTGTATATTTCAACTTCCAGTATGTGATTGTACTTTACCAGGTAAGAGTCTTTTATGTTTTTAAATCTGTTTGTTTTTAATAAAGCCTGATTACTGAAGTTACTTGATCTTTTTCCAGAGGTAGCACATCTACGTTCTAAGAAGAAAAGTACAGTTGTGGCTTGTCGAACTGGTGCTGGCCTTCCAATTTAAGTAATAAGTATCACACTTTCAAATCCAACTGGAATGTGAAAGCTTGTGTTAATTCGTCAAAGATGATATCTCTTCTAGATTTTTTTAAGATATTTTATCTGGCATCATGAACGTTGTGGAGTCATGACATGTTTTGAAGTCTTTGGAAAGTTTAAAGTTTTAAGAATATTAGGATTCTACTTTTTTTGGGTTTTCACTTACATTATCTTGACTCATGATTATCAATATATCATCATCATAGAATCAGTCAGAAAAATACCAATCCGATTTGTTTCTCATTGTACACCGTGTCGTATTGTTCAATGAGTATCGTCAATGACCGAGTGGAAATTCTTCCCTTCTTTGAATTTGGGTATTGAGAGTATAAGAAAATAGGACATATGTCTGATCAACCATATAAGTTTGAAGAACGCAAATCACAGTATTTTCTTGGTTTTCTACGCTCTTTCATCATTTCTAACTACCACCACATGTAGATATGAAGTGAGAGATACCCAGGGACATCATGACTTGCGCTGAGTTTTGAAACATTTCTTCACCCCGAAAAAAGGCAGAATGAGAAAGATCTGAAAGATATTTTGATATCATACACTATCATTCCACATTGACACAAGTGATTGACAATCATTTGGGCCAATGCTGCAAATGCATCTGATTCTCAAAAGGACCCAAACTGATACTGAGGCTTAAGTGGGGGTCCCTAGTTAAGTATCCTCAGGCTTACATATGGATTACGAGTTATTTCTATGGGCTGGGTTAGGTTAAGCTGACCCACATCCTCAATTTTCAATTTTCAATTTTTTGTATTTCCCCCCGTTCGACTGAATTCACTCCAAACCCAAGGGAGCGCATATCAAACCGATTTCAAAGGTTAAATCGTTCATTACCTTTCTTCCCCAGAGCTTAACCAACGTCATCATGGCCACACATGTCTTATTCGAAAGCTCAGCGGGATACGCTTTGTTTGCTGTCAAGTTCAATGAACAAATCGCTGGTAAAACAAAAGCAGTTCAGGTTAGTTTTTATTTTTTTATTTTTATACTTTATTGGATCTGATCATTCGAATCGTTAACGAACTTGGATTCTTGACTATAGGAATCGATTCCCAACTTGAGTAAATTTGGAAAAATGATCGAATTGAAGAGTTTTTTACCTTTTAAAGATGCTGCACATGCATTGGAAAATGCTAATGATATCTCTGAAGGTAATCTTCTAGACAAAATCTTTTCGTATCAACTATCATTTATTCTCTTACTAATGAATTGAAATATTTTCAATGATGAATAGGTATTATGAATGAACATCTGCAATCACTTTTAGAACTTCATATCCCATCTAAAAAATCATCAATAGTTCTAGGAGTTTCAGAAAGAGGTTTAGCCGGTTCGATTAAATCAACATTAGGAATCGAATGTGATACATCAGATCAATCACTTGAATTAATTCGAGGAATCAGATTACATGCTGAAAAACTTTTAACCGGTCTTACAACGGGAGATTTAGATAAATCTCAATTAGGTCTTGGACATGCTTATTCTCGTGCAAAGGTTAAATTCAATGTCAACCGAAGTGATAACATGATCATTCAAGCTATCGCATTATTAGATCAACTTGATAAAGATGTGAATACGTTTGCGATGAGAGTAAGAGAATGGTATGGATGGCATTTTCCTGAACTTATCAAGGTGGTCACAGATACACATCTCTATGCACGTTTAGTTAAATTTATTGGTGATAAAAGTAAATTAACTGATGAAAGCCTAGAAGGAATTGAAGAAATCTTAGAAGGAAATGAAATCTTAGCAAGAAACGTATTAGATGCTGCAAGATCTTCTATGGGTACTGATATCTCTCCTATCGATTTGATTAACATTTTAAACTTTGCCGATCGAGTGATTCAATTATACGATTATCGAAAATCTTTACAAGCTTATTTACGTGAAAAGATGGAATTAGTGGCTCCTAACTTAGGTGCTCTTATTGGTGATACGGTCGCTGCTAGATTGATTTCGCATGCTGGTAGTCTTACTAATTTAAGTAAATATCCGGCTAGTACTGTTCAAATCCTTGGTGCTGAAAAAGCTCTATTCAGAGCTTTGAAAACTAAAGGTAACACACCTAAATATGGATTAATTTATCACGTTCGTTTTTTCGTCTAAGATATCCATGGTCAACATCAATATTGCGTTGTAAACTGACGTTTTGAACTTTCCGCGATCACTACAGAGTACATTCATTGGTCGAGCTGGTGCCAAAAACAAGGGACGAATCTCGCGTTTCTTGGCCAATAAATGTTCGATAGCCTCTAGGATCGATTGTTTTACTGATACGCCTAGTACTGCCTTTGGTACCGCTCTAAGGAATCAAGTTGAAGAACGTTTAGCATTCTATGAAACTGGTGCTAATCCTGTACGTTTCTCTTACACACCAAAGCACTAGATCCTCAATATTCTGATGCTGTCTTGTTTTCGGCGATTGCATCATAGACCAAGAATGCTACCGCAATGGAAGCTGTGTTACAAAAAATGCGTGCTGCTGAAGAAGAAATCGTCTTGAAAAAGAGTGAATCAGGTGAAAAGAAGAAGAAAAGGAAAAGTGAAGCTGCTGTACCCGAAGGTGATGCTGCGACTGACGGCACTTCAGAAGTGAAGCCTAAAAAGAAGAAACGCAAAGTAAGCTCTCGTGACCTTCCCTCATTAAAAATGAGCTTGTATGGATTACTGATAGGTTTGTTTTACATTTCTTTGTGATGATTTATGAACAGAGTGAAGCTTTAAGTGAAGTTGCTGAAGCTGATGACCAAGCTGGAGACGAATCTGTTTCACTTTCTAAAGAAGAAAGAAAGCGATTGAAAAAATTAGAAAAAAGCAAGGTAATTTATTTCATCATAAAACCTATATTGAAACAAAGAAAAATAACTAATGTCTGTAATGTATCATTTTTTTTCTAGAATGCTACTACTTCTGAAGTTCCAGATAGTACTGAAGTTAAGAAAATTAAAAAGAAAAAGAGTGGAACTGTTAAATCTACTTGAAAACAATTCTCTCCTTTTTTCTCTTTTAGTTATCCTTCAAGTTTCTCTTTTTCTTTCTCTCTCTCTCCTATTCTTTTACTGGTTATTTTTGTTTTCTCGAGTGTGTTGTTGATTAGTTTTTTTTCATGAATTTGATATGAAGTAGTCTAAACAAATCAAAGGTGTCAAATTAATTGTTCAAAGATTTCAGTTTGACTGTGATTGTTTATGCTGAAGTACATTGTTATGAAGGACAGCAATGAAGAAGAAGAAAAAATACAACTGGTGATGGGTGATTAAATATGATGTTTTGGTAGTTCGTAGCTTTGATGATTGTGAGCTATGAAGTCATCTTCATTGCCTATTATTTGATCCTTACGTATGTTGTCAGTACATAGGTTTGAGAGCTTGCAGCTTCCTGAATGAAAATCGCACTTGAGTACGAGATCGATGCCCATTTTCAACCATATTGATTCTTTTGACAGACTCAGGAATGCTCCTTTAGAAGTGTCTGATGTAAATTTCATTATTTTGTTGGCGGGGTTTTCAAGCATTGGATTACACTGTCTCAACACTTATAGTAGCTCAAAATGTGCGTGAGAATGAAGACTTTCATGTGCAATAACTCTCAACCCTGTAGCACCCATAGTTTATGTGATATTTTCAATTTAAATGATCGAGGCGAGTACTGATGCGCAGTGTGGAGCCCAAAGATTAAAATCGAGTTCACGGATGCATTCCTGGGTCCTGCACTGATCCATCATGTTGATGATGATATATCTGACCTTTGGGCCTCAAGAGGAGACTTGTATGCATGTACTGATGTCGATTGAATTTGAAGGCGTTGTGAAGACCCTGCTGTTCTCAGCCCAGAGATGTTGCTCATGCCGAGGGTCATCTTCGAGGGCACGGCAAACGCGCGAGGAGAGATTAGTTTGTTTACACTAGATCTTTGGCGCCCAGCCGCCCCGGAGCTCAAGGATGTGCCATAATCGAAGCTACTTACCAAGTCAGCATTGTGTCACACACCACGAGAACAGTCGGCATGATAGCGAGTGGCCGCAATCGAGCAGAGAGCGATGAGTCCATATTTATTAGGATGTATGGAGTGGGGATGTCCAGGCCGCGCTGGAATACCTACCGCGACGCGGCTTGAAATCAAAATGAGATGGTAGGCTTCAGTAGGCAAGGTGCAAATGCCAAGCGAGTCGTAACAAAAAGCTCAGGCGAGGTATCTTTCCAAGTGAAGGACCTTTTCCGTTATTATGAGAGTAGAAGCTCAGCATATGACTGACGAGAGGTCCAAAACATTTTCGATATTTAACTCTCCTCAGCATTTGTCTTCGAGAGATAACGAACTATCCATCAAAACCTACCAAAACTTCTTAACACTGCAAAAATAATGTGTTTTTCCATGGCGAAAAATGATTGATTCTAGCATTTAAAATGCCTTGCTTGATATTGGCCCAAAAAATCTGAAAAAATCTGGTAAGGCAAAATGTGCTATTTTCTTCCAGTTGGGAGATTTTGGTCATTGTAAAAAAATTCTAGCACTCAGTTTGGTGATGTTCAAATTTTTTGTGGAACAACACATAAATATGCAGCACCAAAGCACTAAATTCACCCTTCAATATTGCCAAGAAAAATCTGAAAAAAAAATTACAAGTGGAGGACAATATCCCCTTTGTTGAACGTTTTTTTCAGAATTTTTCTGGCTCAGTATGCAAGTCATCACATGTGTGTAATTTTTGGTACTCAAACGCTACTGCCATATGTACAAGGCTCCAAAACCACCCAAAAAAAAATTTGCAGCACAACAAAGGATGCAAGATCATCTGTACATGGTTTGGAGACAGCGTGTGGAATTTTGATGCCCCTGTGAACCAAAATGCATTTAAACTTTATTTGGCAGACTTTCAATGTTCTAACCTGCATGTATCCAAGACAAAGGCATCAAAAAATCTGAAAAAGACACCACACATCACAAAGGGGATTTCTGATCTCTCCTGATTTTTCCGGATTTTTTGGACTTCTTTGAGAGGGAAAAAGCTGGTAAAAACATTAAAAATTGCTTGCTGGGTTCATGCTGAGTATGAGGCTTTAAGCAACCCCAAAAAAATGTTGCAGGACAAAGAGCGTTGTATCTCTCTCCAGATCTTTTTCCAAGTGTTTTGGGCCACAACTGGGCCCACAATTCCAGGTACAATTTTTTGTCAATCATTTTTCCAAAAATGCAATCATTTTTCGCTGGGGAGAAACACATTATTTTCGCAGTGTAACTTCCTTTCCTACCTTGAGCCTTCTGACGATAGAACCGACTAGCTTCTCAAGAACATATATCAAGATGCTATCCTCCGGTTCTTCAGCTCAGCTTGCCCTTTGGCGCGACATCGTCTCGAAATATCATGAACAGACTAACCCAGTGGAACAACATCTTGATTCAATTCGAAAGTGTTTTGATGATCTTGACTCGGAAGGATTTATCTGGTCCAAGGAATCAATCCTTGCTACCTTTCTTCAACTTGGTCTATCAGAAAGCCCACATGGCTCTTTCTCATCTGGAAACCAAATAACTGAATCCCGTGCTCCTCAAGGATTCCAACCTCCATCCGATGAAGTCAAACAAGTTATACAAAATGAGGGCTTGCAACATACATCTCGTCCTCGAGGCCTTGATGATCTACCTTTCGAAATCCTTGAAAATATAATCAAAAGAATTGATTGCATGGCTAAGCTCGAAGCTGAAGCGATTTACGAAAAAAAATACTCTCGCAGGGTAGTGATCCCAGGTTCAGGTGACCGCAAGTCATACAAGATATATATCCCCCGAGAAAACTCACCAATCTTGAATAGTCTTCAGAGCTTTTCACTTACTTCACCTAGAATATATCGCCAATGTCAACCATGGCTATGGCGAGTGAGTGATATTCATATCAACTCTACAATGCAGGAGAGATTTCTAATCATAGATCATTCGAACTTAAATTTCAGAAACTACAGTTTCCTACTTCTCTTCCAGCACAAATGAGTCTTTGGACAGAACATATCCTTCCCAGGCAAGGAACTCATGTCCATTCTCTATCGGTCGGATTCTCCCCAATGCGCGGTGGCTCTCCTTATAATGAATACACAGAGAACGATCCCTTCTACGACAATCGCACCCTTGATTTTGCATATGATAGAAAAGAATTGATCTCTGCAAAGAATGCGAAACTTTTGATAGAGCGGTGTCCCAACATTTCTGCTCTAACTATCCTATGTGGATACGTGGATAACGACTTGGGTCGCACAGAATCTTCTCTATTGGATGTAGTTTCAATGTTATCAAGTCTCCAACAATTTCGACATTTGAAAGTGATAGCCGGTGGATTTCAAATAAAACTTATGAACGAATTCGCATTGAAAGCCGTTTCTAGTTTACCTTTGCTTGAAACGCTCATGTGTGGTGGAGCCAAAGCACCTGGAAATCAACAAAAGCTTGGTTATGGTTCTTTCGGATTGAGTTTATCTAAACTCAAATCCTTATCACGACTGCATCTATACCAATTTGAAGATATGAATGACAAATGGCGTCTTTTCAATTGGCCAAAGACACTCACTCATCTCACACTTCAACAATGTGGTGCTTTATTGCCGAGTTCAGTATGTCAGATCATCCCTCACATTGCACCTCACCTAACGTACCTTGAGCTGGACCTCGCCTACGAAAAATTTGATGACGCTTGGCATGTTGATCAAAGCTGGGATCCTCAAAGTTCTTTGATACTTCCATTCTTAACTAACTTGAAGCTTTCTACCCGGAACGCATTCTTACTGCTCAACTTTCGGGACTGTAAATCCCTGCGCTATCTTCAATGGACCTACAGGACATTGACACATTGCCAATCGCTGAATGAGATTCTGTTTAAAGCTTATTGGCCTCATCTGGGGAAAATCGACATAGCGCCTTGTTTTTATTTACACCCACTTCATGAATTTGGCTCTACAGCCTATGAGGACCAATTGGCAACACTGGAAAAGAATTGTAAACAAGCCAGTATAGAAGTAACCATACATTCAAGACCCTTGGTTGAAATACAAATCTTGGAATGAACTCCAGCATGGAATCCAGAAGTATTGCAGGAAAATCAAGATTAGGAATGATTTCTTTACCCTTTCATGTAACCGGATGATGTCTTGTTTCTGTCTTTCATACCATTTAGAATTTATGGCTACCTTGTAGATATTAGAGCTGTTCTCCACTCCCTTTTCTTTATTAAAACAGTTTGTCTTAGCTTGTAATGTAAATAATACATCTTTGGTTGTAGGAAAAACTTGATTGCCTCTCTGAAGTGTCCCACATCTATCATCCATGAAGTGTTTACAGATTTTCCAATATGCTGGATGGAAGATATAAGCTTCAGATATGCATTGTGATGTGGTTTGGTTTACATCTGAACCTCAACCAATCTGTTTTGATCTCTTCTAATTAAGAATTGATCTACTTTCAACTTTGAATTCTTGACTTGATACTGCTCTCTTTCTTGTATAATGCCTAACCGGCATTGATGAAAACTTGCCACTGGATCAAACTCTTTAACCCTAAATCTTCTTCATACATATCATTTCTACTGTTCATGATCTCCTCTTTGCCACTACAATTTTTGTTGTTACTATGATATTGATTGTGATACAAACCTATGAACCCACAGGCATTGCATAAAATTGTGTTCATGCTATGTGTTCAATCTCACAACCACCAGCTACCAGTCATGATGATCTCAACATGATATCACCATGCGGGTCATTTCATCATCATACTATCAAGATTCCAATGTCATCATATTTCACCATAAATTACTACACGCCTGCTCCTGTATTTGCAGATCAAGAATATACAGTTCATCAACCTTCATGTCATAAATTCAAGGAAAAAAGGTTACCAACACTTGCCATATGTTCTGGTCTAGCCCAATTGAGATGCCCTGTGACCATTTCAAGTGTCTCCTTGGTATGATAATATACATCATCATTCTTAACAAAGAAATACATTGACCTGTAACATTTTTCTGATCCATAAATCCCATTCCCACCATCCTACACTATGATACTTGCAGTGTTGTATGCCTTGAACCATAGCTACAGACAACCTCTGAGTTATCCTCACTTGAGGGAATTGCCAGGTGCATTATTTGAGTGGAAATTATATGGTACACTCATGGAACCTGGCTCAAAATTGAGTGCAAGAAGATGAGAATACTATGATGATGTGGTTGTAAAGCATTGTAAATCAGATACACATAAGGAATTGGAATGTCTCATGCCCATGTGGTGGCTTGGCACCAATGACCTAGTTTGTTCTATAAGTAAGAATCAAATTTTGAATGTCTTACACATATACAATTAGGGTACTCAAAGTAATGTATGTAGCGCTACATACTCTTTGCTATATACTTTTTCTGGCGGGGAAGACAAGGGCAAAAGTATATTTTTTCTTTTTCCCTGCCAAAAGAAAGTATGTAGCAAAAAGTATGTAGCGCTACATACTTACTTTGAGTACCCTTAATATAGTTGATATTTATTTTTCTTGTATTTTCATCCACATTCTTGGTCCCTACAGTGTCTGTATACACTGTGTAATTCTATATGCAATCATAAATTGTATATGTAGAATAGGGGTCTTGAAGATTTTTGACCTCTGGGAATGGTATGCACAAAAATATGGCCAAAATCTTTATCAATTTATTATCTCATCCATATAAATCAACTTTTGTAATAATTCCTGCCATATGTGTCTCCAGCATCTCTGAAGCTCAAGACAGATCTAGCTTCTCAGATGCAGTCAACAACTATATATACAATCACAGCTCATACAGGCAAGCTCTAAGAATAAAAATGTGCAATACCATATTGTATAAATGGTCATTGATTTTGTTTCCCATGTATATAAATGCATTTTGAAAATACTCAACATTTAAGTCTTGGATACATCACAAAAACCTTTTTTGGGATACGTGGTTTTGCCTTACAAGCTTGATAGCTTATGCAATTCATGTGATCAAGCTTGGTGAACTATAGATTCCTGATCTTTGAATGCAGGATAAGGTATGTACACATTCACATTGTGATATGATGACATTGGAATGGATGGTTGACATGAAAAGAATTTGCTTGTGATTATTTTGAGATTATTTTGAACTCCTTTTGAAGTCCGTGGTAGTCTCTAGCCTGCTTGTGCCTTGTAGCTGGGCAATGTGTCTATATACAAACCATTCTCACTTCACAAACCTGATTGTTCTTGTACCATGATATTTGAGATCAACACACTTGATTTCTAGTTGATCAGGCAAACAAACATGAAGACTTTTAAGTCTTCATCTGATAGTAACAAGCTTATCAAAAAATATTTGAATTGATCTCAAAGCCAAAGTTTTCAAATAAACCTTCTTCATGGTGCTGACTACATACTTTCTGAATTTCAAATATCAGAATCATATATGGGGGGTAGTGGCAAGAACCTTGTAGCATTAGGCCACACTGGATGTACTTGCCTGCTCTCAACACTTCTTCTTTGCAACATCCAAATATATTCTGACAATTGAGGGACTGTTGCAAGGGGGAATTTGGTGCAAAGTTTTTTTAAAAATGAGGAATATCTTCTGTGACAGCATCATTCATATTTTTGAAGTTAGAACAAAAAATAACCGGAAAATCTAGAAAGAAAATTGAAGTCAATTTTTTTGTTGCTGATGGTACTTGGTGAATAACAAATAAAGTGAATTCAATTTGATGAAGAGAGAACCAATAAACAAGAGGCACACACAAGGGAAAAGATGAAATAATCATTGGAGCATTGAAGAATATACCATCAGAGCATTGAAGAATATACCATCAGAGCATTGAAGAATATACCATCAGAGCATTGAAGAATATTTCTGTGTTTCTTTATCTGGTCATTTATGAGATCTTCTTAAAAAGATGAGCAGAATCAAAATGGACTATATTGCATTTTTTATTTTCAAACATTACTTAGCCAGCCCAAATCCTCCAAGTTTGAGTCACCAAAGGTTTCTGAAAAAAGAATTTTTACGGCGTTGTGCCAGTTGGAATTTGTCATTTTCCACAGCTACAAAACGAGCCCAAAACTCTGCATATAATTTGTCTTTTGAATCTTGATGAAGGAATTCAGAGAACATTGTGACTTGATATTTAGATGTTTTAGCAGGATTATTTTCCTTTAAGAATGCATGGATCCCACGAGAGAAGTCCTTGATTGATGTACGTGGAAAACCCAAGTTTTCTGATTGTGAAGCCTTTATGAATTCCATTGTTTTCTTGAATTGATTCTCCCATTGTTTGATGAAACCAGAAGCCCTGTGCTTTTTCTTTACACTCACATCATGATTGATGTCCCCATTTAAAAAAAGCATTGGCTCAGAATGATGCCTTAGGGGATTGATTAGCTTTGGCCATTGTACATCTTTAGCTCTTTCACTTATCTCATAAGATTTGTTTCTCCAGCTATCCCAAACTGAATCATGTTGTCTCTTGCTGTTCTTTTTGATTGGATATCCTTTTTGATAGTCACCCTCAAAAGTTTCAGAAACATGTCGCTTCAACATCTCATCTCTCTTTATGATATTCCTTGTGAAGCTTGTACAGGACTGATCAGTATGAATCACATTGAAGTTCTTAGCCAGTGTTGATAGTCTGGGAGCCATAAACTGTAGATTTGTTGATATCTCCATTTTGCCTCCTTGTGATGTTTGAATCTTTGGATCCACATTCACAATATGGTACATTACATCTGTATGCCACAAAAGAAATCGTGCTAGCTTCTCTTGATCATGACAAGTGTTTTCTTTAACACACCACTGATGATAAACCTTCAAGGTGTATGATGTCATTATTTTGATATTTTCCCAAATTCCCAAATTTGCATTGCATGTCACCACAAAATATACAAATGGCAATAATGTATCTAGTTTCCATATTTGTTTTCCTGCCTGCCAAGCAGGGTATTGTGATTCTTGGTCTGCTAGATTGTATTTACTTTCCAAATTTGTCATGAGGTCTAGTGTGAAATGGATTGCTGCAGCTGAGCACATTTTTTCTGGTGGGTGCAAGTGAAACTCCTGTATATTGATGCCTCTTTGTGAAGGAGTATCCTTGATTTCAGGAATATTGGTCAATGTCTGTTTGGCTTTAGAAAAAGAATCAGCATCTGCCTGAGTTGGTGATGCTACATGTTTAATAGGTCTGGAGGCCATGCGGAGAAGATCAGGTGGGAATCTAAAGTTGTCAATTCTAGAACCTGGTATTGGAGTCTGTTTTGTCCTTGCTTGCTTCAAAGGACTTGGCTTTGGGACAGGATGATCATCACTGATCTTGTGAAAATAAGAGCTTGATGACCCTGAACTCAGGCTACCTTCCCAGCTTGGATTTGCCATTCCCACTTCAGCTCTGGAATGGACTTCTTGATTTGGGATTGCAGAACTTGTTATGGGTGTTTTGTTTTTTGATCCAAGAGATTGATCTCTTCCAACAAACTTGGCTCTATCAGATAATGTATGAGACTGTTCCGACTGATATTCTTGGATCCCTGTGATTTTCTGACGCTTATTGGAACCCATCCTTGCATCTTTCACAGCATGACCAAGAGGCCTGTGCTTTTGCACATGGCATTCATCACTTATTCTTTGTATATGAGAGGTTGATCCTGGAGAGCTCAACAACTCCACAATGAGGCGGTCTCTTGAGCTTTGACTTTGCTTCCCTACTTCAGTTCTGTAAAGTTTTCCATGATCCCTCTTTAAGCCAACAGGTACATGTGGTTCAATGATTGGCCCAAAAGATGAATATCTTCCATGAAACTTTCCCCCATCATATGATCTATGAGGCTGTTTTAGAGGATCCTTGTTGTGTGATTCATTTACTAAAGCCAAATCATGTTGTTGTTTCTTGTGTCTTGCTATGGTTTCTGGATGTTTGCCTCTTGATTTATCTTGTTGTACATCTCTGGTGAGTGTGTGGGGTGACCAAACAGGATCTAGTGCAGTTCTTTCAGCCTTGAATTTTGGAATCTCTTTCAAACTTGTGTTCATAGATATTGCCATGGGATTTGTGATGCACAACATCACTATGCAAAGATTGCTGAGTTTTATCATCTTGCCGAGTTGTGTATTGAACTGCATTTTGAAGGTGGAACAATTTGAGTTGAAATTTTCCCTCAAGAGAAATCCTACAACTGAGATGTCAAAGGGAGATCAGGTAAGGAAGATTAATTATGAAACATTAGTCTTAATGCATTATCTGCAGGTGTTTAGGATTGATTACATCAGGAGTTGCAGTGGGGACAATATATGAGACATCAGTCTCAATACACCATATGCAGCAGTTTATGTAGATGAATGTATCTGCTACATGTCTGTAGATCAATTCCCATGTGTTCAATCAGTGTCACATGTTCTGCACTGCCTACTTCTCAATTTCAAAGTTTTCTGAAAGTATGTTGCTGATATGTGTCAGGTGTCATTTTGTCAAAAACCCGTAGTCATATCTTAAGAGTCTGAAATGCCAAAGATTTGCCCTGTCCAAGTTGGGACTCTTGCTCATACTGCACATTTAATTTGTACTGGATAACACATCTAATTCTGTTCTTTGAACACAATTTGAAGATATTCACAACTTGAATATTTATATAAATCTTGCTCTGGTACTTGTTGGATCATCTTTCCCTCAAGCCGGGGTGGACCTTGAGATTTTGTCTTGATCTTTGTGAAATAACATGTTTATATTGAATACTTGTTGTGTCTGTTCATCCCTGACTTCTAGAGCTGGACTCCCATTCCAACCTAAGAGCATCAAATGAGTCACAAGGATTGGTAGACAAATTTCTTCATTTGATTACCCATTCAGATGCTTTTCCAAAACTTGTGATACTCAGATTTCCACTGCAAAAAATCTTGTCTGCTTGCTATAGTGCCAGTTTTGTTTCCTCCTGATTTTTATTGCTGTAGTTTTGAATGTGGAGTTCAAGATATCAGGGCTTGGGAAGATTTCTGTACAGCTTTTTCAAATTGATGGTTCTCCCTTAGGTTGAAGTTAACTTGAATGAATCAAACTTGGAAGAAAATGATACTTTCAAATGGGAGTGATGATTCCTAGACTGTGACACAGTCCACAAGAATGTTCCAATTGTAAAGGAGAGTACCCAGAGGGTATTGTCCTTTAAAATTTGAAAGACAGATGCAAGTGGTTTTACACACTATTCTCTTTCTGGTTTGTGAAGCATACACTGGAAGAGAGATTTGGCCACTTGTGGGTGAGTGTGCACCGAGTTACTGAGAGTCACCAAATGCACACACATCCGCAGTGATTCCAGTGTGGCTGGCACTCTGTGACTCTGAGTAACGCATGTCACACTCTGGCTCAAGTATAATCTGTAGCAGTATTCAAAATCTTTTCAGAAAGTGAACAAACTCTATGATATTGGATTAAAATAAACCTGCGTTTGTGTGCATGGATATCATGATTGACAAGATCAGTACTTGCACCTTGAGCATTGAGTCCTGTTCAAGCACAGCTGCTGATTCAGTTTCAATCACACTACAAAATAGAACCCAACATACAAACATTTCACGGCTGGGGTCATCAATGATTGAAATCTAAATGAAAATACATTCTTTGAGCTCAGCAATTTCCATGCATTCATGAAAATGCAAGGATAACCGGGAGTAACAATTGGATGAATTGAAGTAGACTGCTACATGAAAACCTATTTGTCAACCCCTCCTCATCTTAACCCATAATTAGGTACAGGCCGGCTCTTTCATACTGTGATAACGTGGTACTTTGTGGTTTGTCAGTTTCGCCAGTGGTCACTTCCACCTCCAGTCTGAAGCTTTTACTCTCTTCCTTCAAAGTCAATACCCTTTGCAGAGAAATATTTACAAACAGGTGGGTTGGATGCACCATTGTACTCCGTATGATTTGTTATAGACCCGAAGCGCCTAAGAAGACAAGGCTTTCTCTGATCGACAGTACTTCATACACAGCTTGTCTGACTGAGTGTACTTCACTGTTCACAATTGATTAACTGACAACCCGAAGCAGAGAAAGGTTTGGTGTTGTCCATCCTGTTCACTGATCCTATTTGTTCAGATGGGATTAAGCCGATGTGGAGTGAAGTATTGGGGACCAGGGCTTACATGGAATATGGAGAACAAAGGGGTCTAGATGACGAAGCATATGGACATGAATTCATGAGGCGCTGGTTTTGATCTATACCCATACAATCACAAAATCAAAAATCAGAGATCCGAAATCCATTGAGAAGAGCAATAAAAAGGATTGGGAATGCACCTGAAGGCCATGTAATGATTTGATTTCATCCGAAAGAGTCTGATTAATCAGTCTATGTTGCTTGAGAGTTGATAGGCCAGCAAAATCAGGATGGGTAACTTGAATGGCAAAAAACTGGCCACATCCGCCTTGATAATCACCATCCGGCCAAGAATAACAAACCAATTAACACAAGTCACAAAGCCAACCAAATGGAGACCACATTCAAGTACATAACGGAAGTGAAGAAGGCTGAGGAAGCCAAGATTTGGAACACACCGGAAACGTCTTGAACTGCGATCTTTCCATCCGAAAACCGTTGCTTTAGCTTAATGAACAGCTTTTTTTCTTCATCACTCATAGGTTGGCTATCTGCTGTAGACGAATCTCCATCTTGAGATTTGGAATAGAGGCGATTGGTTGGGCGGAATGCTCGGGTATTTTCAATGAGTGATGGTGAAGGTCTTGTGCTGGGATTCAGACCAGAAAGCATCAATCTCCTCGAATGAACCGACCGAAAGACTGAAGAGGTGAGATAGGTGGACCTCATCATCGCTCTTGAGTGTTGTTGAAAGACAAAGTGGGAATTTACCTCGTCCTCTGAAGTTTGTCCGCTGCGCCAAGTTTGACCGGCTCGGCTCGGTTCCGAAATGATCCGGGACCGTCCGATGACATCTCCCGAAGGTGGCGAAAAAGTTAAAACCAAATTTCATTTAACAACACCAAAAGTCAATCAGCATTGATCCTTGAACAAAAATACTCATCCAAAATCAATTCATCATGCCTTCAACTAGCTCCTTAGAAACTTACCAAACCCCGCTATCATCCAGATATGCCTCAGCAGGTATAAATTTCCCTCCAAAGCCTTTCTAGATCAAGAACTCAGCTCATTGGATGATTATCTTTGTTTTTAGAAATGTCAAAGTTATTCTCGAGCCAAACTAGGTTCGGAACATGGAGACAACTTTGGTTATCGCTTGCTCAAGCAGAGAAAGAATTAGGAATTCCAATTTCAGATGAGGCTATTGAAGAAATGACAGCCAATCTAGTGCGTTCATGTTTTGTGTCTTGTTGAGTTCACCAGTTTCGAATTTGACATTGATAATTGTGATTTTAGACTCTTGATCATAAGCAAATGGAGATGGCTGCAGTCGAGGAGCGTAAGCGAAGACACGATGTAATGGCTCATGTGCATGTCTTTGGATTGGTGAGTGATTTCTCTACACAATCGGTTTTTTGCGATTTGTAACTCACTAAGCTTCTCGTGAATTGATTCCACAGATCTGCCCAAAAGCTGCACCGATCATCCATCTAGGTGCAACATCGTGCTACGTAACCGATAACGCGGACTTGATCTTCTTACGCAGAGGATTCGAGATCCTTATCCCCAAACTGGCTCTCGTCATATCTCGACTCTCTAAATTTGCCAATCAACATCGAGATTTACCTACTTTAGGATGGACTCATTATCAACCTGCTCAACTTACTACCGTTGGAAAGAGAGCCACACTCTGGATCCAAGAATTACTCATGGATTTACGAAACATGGTCCGCGCTAATGAAGATATCGGATTTCGAGGTGTCAAAGGCACTACTGGAACCCAAGCTTCTTTTCTTGCACTCTTTGAAGGAGATCATGAAAAGGTTGAAAAACTTGATCAATTGGTCACTAAGATGTCTGGTTTCAAATTCGCATATCCTGTTTCAGGTCAAACTTATACTAGAAAGATCGATATCGATTGTTTATCGCCTTTAGGATCATTTGGAGCTACAGCTCATAAGATTGCTACAGATATTCGTCTATTGGCTAATTTGAAGGAGGTTGAAGAGCCTTTTGAAGCTGGACAAATTGGAAGTAGTGCAATGGCTTACAAGAGGAATCCTATGCGATGCGAGCGTATCTGCTCATTGGCTCGTCACTTGATGACTCTACAGGTATGTTAGCGAGACTCGAACCTTCCATGCTTTGCGTTTTGGAACATCTATATATACAACCTGACGACTGTTATGAATACCAAATTAGCAAAACGCATTGATGACAGCCTCGGTACAATGGTTTGAGCGAACTTTGGACGATTCAGCGAACAGAAGAGTCACAATTCCAGAAGCTTTCCTTACCACTGATATAGTCTTAACAATCCTTCAAAACGTAAGCGAAGGCTTAGTAGTTTATCCTGCCATCATTCGTCGACATATCAATGCCGAATTACCTTTTATGGCCACCGAGAACATTATCATGGAAATGGTAAAGTTAGGTGGAGATAGACAAATTTGTCATGAGAAGATTAGAGTACTTAGTCATGAAGCTGGAAAAGTCGTTAAAGTTGATGGAGGAGAGAATGATTTAATTGAACGAATCAAACGTGATGATTATTTTGCATCAGTTCATTCTAAATTAGATCAATTATTAGATCCTAAAACTTTTGTTGGACGAGCACCTGAACAAGTCGATAGCTTTCTTCGTGGTGAGTTTTTTTATCTTTTAGTTCATGTTTAGTAGCTAGATATTCATGGCTTGTTTGTCGTCTTCCTTACGCTTTAACAGATTGGGTCGAACCTGCATTACAACCTTACAAGAGTTTTGTAGAGTCTGCTAATAAGGCTGAATTACAAGTATGATTCAAAGGTGAAGAAGCCATTGTAAATATGTTTCTAGTAGCATATAGTACATACAACCTCTTTTTAAGTATCTGCCTCGACCTCCTCATTGCTCGTGTATTCAAGAAACCAAGTGTGGTTTCCAAAAAATGCAATGAGCTCTTCATGTCAACATGTTTTATGACTTCAGCTAATGAAGTGATGACCTTTGTATAGTGTCTGAAATGACATTCTATAGTTGCATTTTGCAAAGTTTGAATTACCTATATGTGCGCATATGTGAATATGCATCCAATCAAACCTATCATTTTCAGAAGTGAAGACATTTTTCAACACATTCTCAGTGTCACACAAGAAAAGGACCACCAAAACATAGGTCGATTGCCAACAGGAAAAGTACATATTGAAGGACAACAAAAGACATCAGTTTGTCCAAAGGATGCTGCTCGAATTTTCGCCCAGAGAACCAGATGATATATACCAGGTATTTCAATAAAGTGTTTGAGATAGATAGCAAATACTTGGGCCAATATGTGAAAATGGGCTTATAGACTATGAACACATATGCTGGATTTTTTCATCCAAGCTTGTGCCATTTGCCCACCTTGTAACTCGTTGCTGAAACTTCATTACACAAAATCTCTTCAGATTACCTCAATCCATTTTCCCAGACCACCATGGATCAACCAAACCTCAAACCTGGGTATCATTTATATCTAATTTGTCAAGAAAAGCTTGAAGCAGGTCTTTCTACACGAAGATAACTGGATAGACTGTACCAAGTTGATAAAGTACGCTTATGTCGAGTGCTGAGCCTTATATTGAGATGTACAGACCGTACCAGAGTGACGCGAACTCTGTATTTGGTCAGTACCGGTCTTAGCCGGAGCAGAGGGGTAAAGAATAATTTAGCCACTCATTCAAACATTTCCACTCCAGTTCGTTTGAACCCAAGACTTCACCTACCACATTCTCGATACGAGATCTTACAAACCACTTCAAATTTCATCCAGGATGAGCGCCGATCGTAGGAAAGTAGATGTTATTCTCGGATCACAATGGTACGGGTTTTTCTCAAGGTTTTTCATCAATGTTAAAAGCCTTGATTTCAGTGCTGATAAATTTTTTATAATACAGGGGAGACGAAGGAAAAGGAAAACTATGCGATATTCTATCTGCTCAAGTCGATGTATGCGCTAGGTAAAAAAATACAACCTTTTCCTGATCATCAGTCATGACCGAAATTTCTTTGTTGGATCGAGAATTTTGACAATAATTATGCTCGGTTATGATACTTTACAGGAGTGCAGGTGGTAATAATGCAGGTCATACGATTGTAGCAGATATGCCAGTTGGACAAGGTGTGGATGGGAAAGGAGGAAAGACGACATTTGATTTTCATCTTTTGCCTAGTGGTAAGTTCTTGATGGACTCCTTTTATCAACTAAAGTAACGTGTCAACCTTTTTGACTCATTTTTGTTTGACAACGCGTTCGCTTCTAGGCCTTGTCAATCCAAATTGTATTGGTCTCCTTGGTTCAGGTGTGGTGATGCATGTACCCAGCTTCTTTGAAGAACTAGCCGCATTAGAATCCAAAGGTTAGTAAGACCATGAGAACCACAAAGTCTAGTGACGTGTTTGATAATCATTCTTTTGTATCAATCTTTCGCACTTCTCAGGTCTCAAATGTGCCGATCGAGTCTTGATTTCGGATCGAGCTCACCTTGTTTTCGATTTTCATCAAATCGTTGATGGTCTTAAAGAAATTGAACTAGGTGGTTCATCAATCGGTACCACCAAGAAGGGTATCGGACCAGCTTATTCTTCAAAAGCTTCTAGATCAGGTCTCCGAGTACATCATTTGATCGGAGACTTTGAGCATTTCTCAAGTCGATTTCGTACATTAGTCGAAGGTCGATTCAAAAGATATGGTCATTTCGAATACAACATTGAAGCTGAATTATCACGCTATGCCGAATATGCTACTCGTTTGAAACCTCATGTTGTAGATGGAGTTCAATATATTCATCGAGCCCTTAGTACTGGTCAAAAGAGAATCTTGGTCGAAGGCGCCAACGCTCTTATGCTGGATCTTGACTTTGGAACATATCCTTACGTAACCTCATCATCCGCGTCTATCGGTGGTGTACTTACCGGTCTTGGTCTCCCACCTCAATCTATCGGCAATATCTATGGTGTAGTGAAAGCCTACACTACCAGGGTTGGCGCCGGACCTTTCCCTACTGAACTCACTGGTACGCTTGGTGAACATTTGCAAGAAGTAGGAGCCGAATGGGGTACAACGACAGGTCGTCGAAGACGTTGCGGTTGGCTAGATGTAGTAGTCCTTAATCATTCACGTTTGGTCAATGGGTATACTTCTTGGAACTTGACTAAATTAGATGTCTTGGATGACTTGGAGGAATTAAAGATTGGTGTGGCTTACGAATTGAATGGGCAGGAGATGGATTATTTTCCAGGTGAAAAGTTGATGACTTATGATTGATGGAAGATATCAAACTGATTGAAGTGTTTTTTTTCTTTTTAGCCGATTTGGACGTGTTGGAAAAGGTAAAGGTACGTTACGTGACCCTACCTGGATGGAAACAGCCGATCAAGAACTGTAAGACGTTTGAAGAGCTTCCGGCTGAGTGCCGAGCTTATGTGGAGACAGTAGAACAACTAACTGGCATTAAAGTGAGGTGGATCGGCGTAGGGCCTGGACGAGCAGCCATGATTGACCGAGTCTAGATCAATCACAATATTCTTGACCCAAAATGAAAGTAAACGTGCGAGTGATATTGGCAAAGAAAAAGGCTACCAACAGTTGGCTTTCTGTTTCTTGCACTTCTATATTTGATGAGGCTCTTGTTTATAAACTATCAACACCAATTCCAATATCAAGTAGTCGAGCTGATTGGGTTCAGGTGCAGATGTGCTCTTTCTCAAAGTCATTTCAAAGTCATCTTTCTTTCAAAGCATTTGATGCAATCAGTCATCAATCTTTCAATTCTTTCTGACTCACTCATTTACTATCTTTCATCTCATTTGTTCTCATGTTGTTCTATTGGGCTTGTTGTGACAACGCTAAAACTAAATAGATGTTGATCTTGTCCTATAGTACTTTGAGTTTGTTCATAAAGTTTGTTTAGAAAAACAAATGTTGAGTATTATCTTTGAAATCATTTTTCTTGTATATGGATCAGCCTTCCAATCTGGACTTTGGCTGCGTCAATTTTATGGCGGAGAAGCTAATGGCAGAGTGAACAAGAGGGAATGAAAAGAAAGGTGAAAACAGAAACAATCAACTTGTAAGGCCGCATTCTAAGGTTCCCAGCACGTCTCTGTCCCACTCAGACCTGTCGTAGGAACTATGTGCTGCCGTAGCCGTCTGATCAGATTCTCGATGTGCTTGAAAGCCCATAAGAGAAGCTGCGACTTATTCTTCTGTAACTTGCTACGTATGCGAGCGCTATTTTGTGACAAAAAGTGGTGGCGCCCAGCCTGCGGTAGTCACAAGGGTGAAGTGATCCGGTATGTGAATCATACATATCATGAGTGATCCCAGCGACCATACCTTTCCATCTTTGGGTTTCTCCTAATATTTTGCTCTACATGATACAAGAAAAAGTGAATCCCAATTGTATATCCTTCGACTCGCGATTCTTCAGCCCTTTTCATATCTCTGGCAACTGAATCACTTTCATGGGTTTGGCTTCAGCCAAGCATTCAAACAAAAGTCGCAAAACAAGCACAATGAAGATTCGATTGAGGATGTTTGGGATGTCCTTACCTTTACTAGTCCCTGTTCTCGGTATGGAGCACCCACAAAGCACCTTGGGGTTGGAAAATCATCCCCTATACGGACAGGACCTGGTAAACATATACAGCTTTCGACCTCAGCCGCCTGTGTTGAGTTGGGACAGCCCTAGGGATGATATATTCAAACATTCTGCTCCATCATTTATTTTGAAGTCAACCCCATTTGCAGACTTTTTTAGGACAACAAAATCAGTCCACCTTCAAGCTGAAGGTGAAAAGATTAAGCAACTGGCTTTCGAGGTGCTTAGTTTGATAAACACCTTGGGACCCGGGTGGGAGCCATGGAGTATGTGGCTACAGCGAAATGAGGATCTTGTTACTAGTATTATGTGGCTTGCTGAAGATGCCTTGAAATCGTCAAACAAGTGTAGTGAAGGAGAGAGACTTTGGGCTGTGGGAATATTGGCAGCAATCCTCAAGTACCAACCACCGAATGTTGATGGAATCACATCCCATAGAAAATTCAGCTTTCATGATTGGAGTGCTCAAGTCTGGATTGAGGTAGAGGCAAGTAGAGGTGAGTGAAATTCAAGTGTGGCAACTTTGAAAAGAAAATCCAAAATCACTGATATTCTGAAGTTGGATGGTGCGCTCAGAATTTGAACCACTCATGACAAAACACTTCATGTCAGTTTGGTTGGACAATATATCCAGTAAAGAAGTTCATACTGGTAAGAGGAATTCTCACTCTCAAAAAGATAACTGTGAGACTGATTCAGTGATGCATTCAAAAGATTTGAAAGAGTGCCTGACAAGAGCACATATATTTGGTGAAGAACTTCATGGAACACTTGCAAACAATATTCTTATCCCAAGGGCACTATTGAAGGTTCAACTCCCTGTATCAGAAGAAGAATTTGTGGCTTTGGTCAAGTACTTTCAAGGTTCCCTCAAGGAAATTAATTTTCTGGATGGGGAGACAGGTATTAATAGTTTATTTATCCATCTACTACATCACTCACCACAATTCAAACAAGTGGTAGTGAAGTATCTTCAAGATCATTCATTTTTTAGGGATATAAATAGACCCGCTGCCCAATTGGAACTATCAATATTTCTACAAGAGGCAAAGAACTTCAATATCATTGAACCCCATCTTGGTGATCAAATCTTGGCTTGTGCAAAAGGAACAACTTCATCAGAATTATTGCTTGAAACTGTTGACATCCTGACAAAGAAACTGGAAGAAGCTGCAATTGTGGAAACCAACAAGCTTAACCACATATATCAAATTTTGGTTTCTATGTGCTTCATTAATCCATCTGCAGAATATTATTTCAAGTTAAGATACATTGAAAAAGATGCCAATGTTCCTTACTTCCTAGCAAAGACATGGTTTACATGTGGTGTAAATTTGAAGGTGTCCAAAGCTGGACTTGGCGACTTTTCTGATCTGCTATTAATACAAAGTAGGTCATTTTTTGCATGTACCAAATATGAAATGAAACTTAGTTTGAGCAAAATTACCAGATCCAAGCTATCTTCAAGATGCAAGACGGCAATTATCAGCTATCAATATGCAACAGTCAAAATCACAGCACATACAGGAGATGGGAGACTTCCTGAAACGTCTTCCACGAGTTACAGGAAGAGACCATGTGTTGGATGATACTCTAGACAAACAAATATCATATCAATATGAGAAACTGGTGCATATACTGAAATCAACATTTGACACACCTTCAGTTGAACCAGTTCAAGAGATGGCCTTTGAGTTTCTTTTCTACTTGAAAGAATACAAAGCAGATTGGAGTGTATTGCTCCTGGAAAGAATAGATCAAGTTCAGGAATTTCAAGAGACTATCATGAATAGTGCAATAAGTGTTATCAAACGAGATCTGGATATTTGGAAAGAACAACCTGAAAAATTTCACTTACCAAGATCAGAGCTTCATGGATTTATCAAAAGACTTGTAAATGTAAGTCACAAGATTTAATCTTGCTAGTACTCGTTTTGGAATAAAAAATATTGATGCCTCACAAATTTGCATCCAAGATATACCATGGTTGCTGGAAAGGAATCTCTCAAAATGAAAACTTCAACCCACGTAAAAGGGGTTCGGAATGGCTCAAGCAAGATGAAGATACAATCACACTTTGTCTTTTTGATGACATTCCCTTTTTGATTAATTCCAAGCGCTTAAGAAGTGTGAGGGTTGGGTACTCAGTTGAGGACTCAAGGCTCACTAGATGGCTATGAAAGGTTTGTAATTTTCAATAATTATCTTTTATATTTCAACTATAAAGTAATTACAATTGGAAATTTAAGAAAGAAAAGAAAGGGGGGAGAGAAGACTGGTCTGTTTGGATAAATCCAGACAGACTACAGTTAAATGACTCCTTAGAAGGAGATTTTAAATATAATTATAATTAATTATAACTGAAAACTGGATCCAAGGTTTTCCTTCAAACCTCTAGTGACAGAATGAAGAGTGAGGTCTAGATCACTACACTGGTTGTTCTTATGGTCACCAACCTTGGGTTGTTCTTATGGTCACCAACCTAAGTACTTATATATAGGCCACTACCCTGTGAGTTGTTGAAGGTCACTAACCTAGTAAATAATCTACTTGGGGAAAGTAGAGGATCCAGAGAATAGTTGAAGGGTGTATTACTTACTTTTAGTCAGGAACTGTTTAAAGTAGAGAAGTAAATCACTAGTCTTAATTTATAAGACCCTTGATTATGAACTTCTATATTACTTTAAAGATGTTCTTTAAAAGTGATGTGTAATAAAAAGCTTGGGGATCCCTCTCTGAAGGCTGAGAGAGGAGGAGTTTATATACTCTCCTCTCCAGACCTAACTGTAGTGATATTTGTTTATATCACTGCAGTGGTTTAGGGTTTAATTATTACTGTTAGTTATGATTATTATTAATACTACATAATTACATATACCTGTTATGTAATTTATGTAGTATAAGCATTTTTAACTCTTGACACTGAGTTATGAGGTGTTATTAGTGTTTTATTACATATTACATATGATTTTAAATGTATATGTATATGTAATTAGGTTGTATATACGGTTTATTACAAGTTACATATGTTTTGTAGGGTTTATGTACATGTAATTAGTTGTCTAAAGGTGGTTATCTATGTTACAAGTTAGTCTTTGGGTACATACATATGTATCCAGGGCTGACAAGAAGATACTGGCCAACTATTTCCTGATAGAAATCTGCTTTTATGGATCTATCCCACCTTTTGCAAGTTCATTCTTCCTAAGGTACCACCACCAACATAGATGCCTCAAATTGAAAAATCTGAAGCCTTGTCGGATATAAACCCTTGGACAGATCTTGTCCAAGGTTTTCAGTCCGATGATACCTTGGATTTTTCAATCTGAGGCATCTATGCTGACTGTGTACTTGATCAAACTGATGTATTGCTCTTCTCATCTTCATCTCATCTTTAGCACCTCCACCATGTTCATAAATTGAGCCTCAGATAGTGTGTATATTATAATTATGAGTTAGTTTGAATATCTTTCCCTATGACTGCTTCTGCAAACATCAATTTGGATACATGCCATGTCTTTAGAAAAGGATCATGGTGAATTTCCATTCAGAACTCTTGGGTTGTGGTGTGTTTTGCAGTTTTTTGTTGATTATCATTGTTTTGCTGAAATAATGCAACTATCAGAACCTGAGCGTATGTCATTTTATAGTTTCAAAAAAAGATTATGAAGATTTGATTGCTAGGATGGGCAATACCAGCAAGAATGGACTGGTTTTGGGCAGAGGTGAGCTCATACAGTGATCAGTTGGAATTGTGCTGCACACTGCACTCATATGGTGGGCACGAGCCTAAGGGAAAAACAAGGGTGTGCACATATTCTGTGCGCAGTCTCTGGCACTCTAAAGTTTACAATTGTACATGGTACATGCACTGTCTGAGTAGTTTACTGTTGGAGTAGTTTCAAGGCCCATTGAGATTGTGTTGTTATATTTCACAGTGTTGATTGATAAGGACTCAGTCCTGAATTGGGGTGTAAGCTTTTGAGAAGGCCTTCTTCTTTATGTTGTCACTTCAACAGCCTATTCACAGTCATCAATAGGTTAACCAAGATGTCTCATTTCAATCATGTAGTCAAACCATGAAAGCTGGCTGATATTATGCTCAGGCATGTATGGCTGCTCCATGGAACCTCTAAGCCCATTTTGTCAGATAGGGGAAGCTTATTTATATACCAAACCATAAGGCAATTAGACAGACACCTTCAAACATGACTACAGCTGGTATATAAAAATATGCTCAAACCTGCATGATTTCATATTTTGGGTGGAAGAATTTTGTATAGAATTCTAAATTCTTATGCAATTCAGACATCATATTTGGCAGTAAATATGTTCAGGATCAGGTATTTTTTGAATCAATCAACACAGGTTATGCAGCTCATGTGCAGCTATGAAATTGACACAGGTTTGGCTGTAGATACCTGATAAATTAAATTACAGTCATTTAATGCAAAAAGAGACATAGAGTTGAACAATTAACCTGGTAACATCAATACTTTATCCAATTTTGTCATTTTGGATGTTGTTAGCATTGAGAAGGAGTATAAAATAGCTAAATAAGACAGGAGTGATGAAGATTGAAATGTGGCAGAGCATGGGTATTGTGAATTTTTGATAAGCACATCACAACACATATCTATTCTATTACTAATTTTGAATGTTTCTTGCTGCCCACTAAAATGGGTGCACTTGCCTCATCTTCAAGCACCCTTAGGTTCCTTTTTTTCCAGAACTCGTGTTCACTTCTTGTAGTAAGAAATTCTGACCAAACAGGTTGATTGTGATTGGTTTGTCTTGGTTCAGCCATCTTGGATTTTTTATAAGATGAGAAGGATGGCCATTCCATGGAGTGGTTTCCTCCCAGAGCTGATTACAGTACTGATGTATTAGAGAGTGGTTATATTTGATCAGTAGATGTCAATCACCTGAAGACAAATTAGAAACTTACAAATAGTATTCTCCTCACAAAAGCATGGAGGATGTCCTTGTTTACATGATAGCTCTTGGGTGTCTGCTTCCAAGATTCACGGTTTGTGGTAAGTAGCTTCCTTGCTCCAGACACCATTACCTCTCTAAACTCAAGTTTGTCATGAATCCTATTCAAGAGGATCTCTTTCCATATCTCCTTGTGTTCTGTCAAATGGAAAAGAAACTCAAAACACATTTCCAAATGTGCTTCAACCATATGAGCAGTTCCAAGAACCTTTTGTAAAGTACTTTCAACCTTATCATATTCTTTGTAAATTGATTGATGAAGTTGATTATCTAAGTAGATCTCTCTTCCTGAACTTCTTGGCAAAAGTTTTAAAAATGAACCCATCTCTTTTACAAGATCAGATTTGGATTGAAGCATGTTTTGTGCTGATAGTTGACATCTTGCATCTTTAAGATAACTTGGATCTGATGATTAGGAAAAGATTATTTATCATGATCAGTGGCTGGCATATAATTCAAATAAATCTTTAAACTAAGAAGAAATTCTGTGCTCACTTCTGATAAAAAAAAGGCATGAGTAATCAGAAATCAAACCTCTTGAGGAACACTTTATTTGTTCATATTCCACCCACACATGAGTCAGGTACTCTGGGACATTAGCTTCTTTTTCAATAAAATGGTCAATGAGATATTCTTCCGCAGATGGTACCATGAAACAAAAAGCTAGCAAGACTTTATGTGATAGTTGAATCTGTTCTTTTTCATAAACCGATTCCCCTTTTGCAAAGATGTCCAAGATAGTATAAACAATGAACTCAATAGAATGAATTTTATTCAAGTTCATTCCCATTACAACCTGTCTTAAAATTTCAGAGAAATTTAGTATAGACTTTGGGCTTGCAGGATTTTTTAAAACATCCAAAAGATCTTTCTGTGCATAAGGTCTATTGATATCCTTAAAGAAATCGTAATCTTGAATGTGTTGTTGAATTGTTGCACGGATTTGAGATGAATGTTCCAATAAATGTTGAAATAATGAACCTAGAACAAACACATTCCGATCCAAGACTGTACCATTTTTAAAATTAGATCTAAAGTGGTTTATCATCTTTTCGATCTCTGACTGGTTTGTAGGAAGCTCGAGTTTTAAAAGTTGAATGTGTATGATTTTTGCTGGAATTTTTTGAGAACTTCCTTTCATTAATTTCCCAAATAATTCGGCCCTTTTCAGACCCTCATTCAACTCTGTAGATATTCAATACAAATCAAACTCGGTTCGCCATCGTGTTAACATATACTCACTCACCTTCATTATCCCTTGGAAGTGGTTTTCCATCAAGCCAGATTGACATAAATTTGGCTGTCATAAATGGCTCATATCCTAGACTCAAAAGATTTTTTAAAAAGATCAAACGTCAACATTTTCCGTGTATATGACCAATTGATTACAAGAAACTCACTTTGTGTGGCTTGGATCTCGAGGAAGACCTGTGGACTCCAATGATAAAAACCAATAGACCTTTCAGAGATGGTTCCTTTGAGATGGTCTGGTAAAGAGAGTGCCGCCACGATTCCGACGACCCAGAGTCTCTCACTTTCATTAAAATCATTATTGGATTGCAAAGCTTTTTCAGCAAGCTCAAGACAATCGGTCACCAAAAGTTCATTCCTTTCAAAGAAAATCTCCCATGACTCCAAAGATGGTACAAGAGATTTTGTCAGCTCTACAATCTTTTGAGCCAGTTTTGTTATTCGAGAATTTTTGGAAAAAATTGAGATTGAATGGCTAGTGGTAAAAAATTCTAAATATGGTCTTTGTCTTAATTCCGATGATGAACTGCAATGGTCATTAATACCGTTTGGATCAGAAAAAGGCCCTTTTGTCGCAAGACTTGTTGACCCTTCCAATAACTCAGGTTGAGATTGATGATGAGTTATAGTCTGAAACTTTTGCTCTAAACCCAGTACGAAAAGTGATAAGCCGAAGATGAAAGGATTTGTAACTAAAATCAGTGTGAAGTTCATCTTCTTCTTGCTAATTGATTTACAAAAATCTGATGAGTACTATACGAGTCGGTTTAGTGAGGTCGAACGCCAATAAAACATCTGCGCTGACGGCGACGCAGTGTATCAATTTTTCAGACGGTATAACAGCTTTCAAAAGGCAAGTATAGACCTCTGACACAAGAAGCTTGATTCAAACTTCTGCGCTGGTCCACCGGATCTCAACTAATTGCGTGAACACATCTGCGTGAGCCTTTATGAAGGGGTATTTGATCAGGTGGGAGAATTTCACATTCACTTTTAGGATTGAACACTAATTGGAATTATTTTTTATTTCTTCGGGATGATTAATGATTGTCATATAAATGCCAATTAATTATGGCAAAAAAATACATTATTCCATTTGGGAGAGTGTTTAAATCCTGACAGTGACTGAGTCATTCACATTTGGTGTAAGTAGGATTCAAAGGTGGTGTATCTTTGAATTTTACCAATGTTTCCATTTTACTTCAACTGTGTAAAAAATACCGGTGTAAAAAAACTAAATGTATGAATCAAAAAAAAAAGGATCCCGGTATCCCCACCGCCCCCTCCCTTTCACAGCTAGTGAAAGCATTACTTACCAGTGACACAAGCTGTGACAGTATTGTCCAGCCGCACTGAAAGGTCTCTGGATTTTGTTTTCTCAAGTTTGCTCGGTATGAATAGCACTTAAAACAAGGATCCCGGTATCCCCACCACCCCCCCTTGGTAGCCCCACCACCCCCTCCCTATCACAGCTAGTGAAAGCCTTACTTACCAGTGAAACAAGCTGTGACAGTAATGTCCAGTCGCACTGAAGGGTCTCTGGATTTTGTTTTCTCAAGTTTGCTCACAAAAGATCCTCTTGGCTCAGCGATTCCATCATTCAATTAGAATCAAGTATTGAATATGAATAACTGGATGACTTGAATCAATATTACTCCAACCAATTGAAAAAGACGACCAATTGAAAACCAAGATTGAAGATCAGTGAGTCAGACCAATTCAAAATCAATGTACCAGAACAATCGATTTTTTTAGTGTCATCAACTGTGTATTTGAAGGATCAATAGCTCTTTTTAGCTGGCAAAGGTTTATTATCTTCAATGACTCAATCACAACATTCATTATCAGAGA